CTCCCCAAAGGTGCAGGAGGAGATGACATCTGTATGACAGAAGCCATACCTGGAGCACTTTGCACTGAAGCCCCCCCTCAGGATATCAGCCCCTACTTTACATAAACCTTTCCTTAGCTTGGCAAGGAAAACTACAGGTAATTATACTCTGTATAGGGAAAAGGGCCACCAAAGGTTGAAACAAGTTGCAGAGAAGGTTTCAAAAAGAAACAATGTGCAAGGCACACTTGGTACAACAGGAAATAACATTACCCTTATCCAACTTGAGGGAATCACTGTGTTTCAAATCATGAACATCTCACAGTGATAACCCCCCAGCTGAGTGGGAAGCTCAACAGTCTTCTCTAAGATTTTAAATGAGAGCAATTATATTAGCACTGATCTGTAAGGTCAAAATTTCATTTATCTTGGCATTTAATGACCTTGAGTCATCATGAAAATCGTTATGTTTTGTATCCTTTGTTTTAAAATATAGGGAAATGTATGATGAATTTTCATGAATTTTGCCTAAAGGCTTGAAACAAAAAGTTTTGATGACTTAAGGTGATAAAGGCCCACCAATTCATAAAACTCGCCTATCCAGAATGAGGCATTTCGAAGGATTAGCTTGGGTTTTATTGCAGTTTTGGAGGGGAAGTTGTTACTGGAGGCCCTCTCTTTTTCTTTTTTTTTTTTAATTGAAGTGTAGTTGATTTACAATATTGTGTTAGTTTCAGATGTACAGCAAAGTGATTCAGTTGTACATATATCAATATATGTATATTCTTTTCCATTATAGGTTATTACAAGATATTGAATATAGTTCCCTATGCTATACAGTAAATCTTTGCTGTTTATTTTATATATAGTGGTGTGTATTTGTTAATCCCATACTCGTAATTTATCTCTCCCCTCCTCTTTCCCCTTTGGTAACCATAAGTTTGTTTTCTATATCTGTGAGTCTGGTTTATAAATAAGTTCATTTGTATTATTTTTTTTAGATTCCACATGTAAGTAATATCATACAATAGTTGTCTTTTTCTGTCTGGCTTACTTCGCTCAGTATGATCATCTCTAGGTCCATCCATGTTGCTGCAAATGGCAATGTTTCATTCTTTTTTTATGGAGACCCTCTCTTTCTAATGATTAGAATCTTTGATTGTATATAGAGTTATCATGGAAAAGGGTGAACAAGTTAGGGTTATAGGGTTGTTTGCAACTTAGGGTCAAGGGGAATGCAACAGGGGTAGATGGGAGAAGGGGATGGGTGGATAAATGGAGACCCTATAGCACCAATCCGTACCAGCAAATTTTTTTTTGCACCATAATATTTATGCACAGCACGGTTTGCCTTCCTCAGCATCTCTTCTCACCTCTGACCTAAGTGTCAAGTTAGGATAGCTTTCACAGCATGTAAAGGAAACCCTACTCCAAGGACTTAGTCAGTAGCCGTGGCTGGACACAGTGGCTTTACAACTCAGTAGCTGATTTGGGCTACTGTAGTCTTTCTGCTCTGCGTTGCATGGGACATCCAGCCACATGGTCAAAAGATGGCTGCTTCACCTTCAAGCACTGGGTTTGAGTTCTAGTCAGGAGAAAGGGAGAGGGAAAAGGGCAGAAGCCACAGCTTGAGTCTGTGTCTTTTTGTCAGGAAATGGATAGATTTCCGTCACCTTGTAGACTTCTGTTGACTGGAACTGGATCTAATGGCCACCGAAGCTCTGTGCAAGTGAGTTTATTTTTGTAGGTGCATTTGATGTCCCACATCAAGTGAGGGTTCTGTTGATAGGGGAAAGGGGAGAATGGATATTGACTGGATAATGAATAGTTTAGTAGTTTATTAGTTTAATATTTGCTACATCTGCAAAAATAATTCTCTGAAGGCAAGAAATGCCTAGTGTGCCAAGATGTTCAGTGTCCCATTTTTTATACATATCTTCACTTATTTATCACAAATATTGGGCACCTACTGTTTGCCAGGCACTGTTCTAAATGCTGACCCCAAAATTTATAGGCCCAAAATTTCTCAATTTCAGGGAGCCTACAGTCCAGTGAAAGGGAAAGACATTAACAAGATAAATAAGTACACACATATGCACTAAAGAGAAAAAGTAAAAAAGGGAATGGGGCCATGAAGTATGGGGTATGAAATGTTAGGTAGTGTGAACTGGGAAGGCTTTGCTGCAAAGGTGATATAAATTAAGGCCTAAAGGAAATGAGAGAGCAACCTACAAAGATATGTGAGGTGAAGCCATTCTAGGCATAGGAAATAGCAAGTGCAAAGGCCCTGAGGTAGACACATGCTTGATGTGTCTGAGAAATGGTGAGGAGGCCAGTGTCATCGGAATGGCAGTAAAAAGGTAATTTTGATTATAAGTTGGACCAGTAATGGAGAGCCAGATCACGTAGGAAGCTGCAGGGCTTATTCTGAGTGACATGAGAACCCTTTTGGGGTTTTGAGTGAAGCAATGACTTGTTCATGTTTTTGACCTCTGTTTTAACCAGCTCACTCTGGTTGATGCGTTGAGGAGGGGGGCAATGGCAGATGCAGGTAGACTAGTGAGAAAGCTATTCTAATAACCCAGAGAAGACATAATGTAGCCTGGACCACAGTGATGGTAGCGGAGATAGTAAGACATAGTTGGATTCTAGACACATTTCAAAAGCAGAGCCAGTAGATTTGCTAATGGACCAGATAGGAGTTGTGAGAGAAAGTGAGGAGTCAGGAGTGACTCCAAAGTTAGGGTCTGAGCAACTGGAAGGATGGGGGTACCGTAACATGAGATGAAGAGATATGGGAAGAGCAGGTTTGAGAGGCAAAGGACTTGAAGTCTGGTTTTGGACATGTTAGGCTTGTGGTGCCCATGCCATCCAAGTGGAGATGTTGAGTAGCCAGTTGGGAGCTCCAGGGAATGGCATTGGCTTCTCTGCCTGAGCACGGCCTCCTAACCAGACCCTTGGTCCAGTTGCCCCATGAATCACCATAGCCACTTCTGGCATCAGCGCCAGGTAGACTTAGAACAGCCTAGGGCAGGTCTGACCTGGTCCAACCCAGCTTTGCCTTTGGGATTTGCTGGGATCCCAGTTCCAGGCAGGCTGGCCATGGGCCAGTGTCTGTGGAGGTGGAGGCTTTTCTGAGCCTGCCCTCTGAAAGCTGGCGTTTCTGCTCTTCTCCCGCCCAGGGGAGTAGCGTGGTCCAGGCTGGTGTCCAGTGGCTGGCAAAGGAAAGATGGCTGCCTCGCGTGCAGCTGGGAAAGCTATTTCTGTAGTGAGATCCGGCCCGACCTTCAGGCTGCTAAGGCCCTCCCCAGAGAGCTGTGGTCAGCCCGCCACTGCTTTCCCTCCCTTTCCCTAAAGAGCTTTTCTGCTGGGGCTTAAGACTCTCCCGAGTGAGTTGTCTTCATCATGACTTCAGCCGGTATTTTGTGGATTTTTGGGGAGGCCGAAGTGGACCCTCCCCATCCGTGTTCACCGGGAAACACAAGGGCAATGATGGCCGCTTTCAGTGTCGCTGGGGGAGGCCTGGGAGACAGGCCAGTGGCCCTTTGAAAAAAAGTCAACAGACAGTCCATGGCTCAGAGTCCAGCTTGGCTTAGTACTGAGTGTTCCTCACATTCTACGACAAAAACTGCACCAGAGGAGTTTGATGAACAAAAAGTTGAGTTTTGCTTTACCATGTCATCTGGGGACAGTGCAGCACGATGAATCATTTTACTCAGTGGGTTTACCTTGGAAGTCACTGCCGGACTAGTCCCTAGTGAGGAATAATCCAGGGCAGACGTAGCCTGTGTTTCCTCGTCCGATGCAGGAAAAGGTTACTCTACGTGCCGTCTGAGGTTCTTCTCTTCTTCATCAGCGGGTGAGATGCCGTGAAGTCAGCTGACTTCCTTCATTTCATGACTCTCCAAACCCCGTGGGGAGAGAAGTTAAAGAGAAGGTACCCTGGTATATTTTTCCAACTTTTTTTTATTGCTGTAAAATATGCCTAACATAAAATTTACCACCTGAGCCATTTTTAAGCACACAGTTCAGTGGTATTAACACACTTATATGGTGCAATCATTACTACCGTGCATCTCCAGAATTCTTTTCACCTTGTGAAACTAAACCCATTAAACAGCTCCCCCTGTCCCCCTCCCACCAGGCCCTGTCAACCACCATTCAACTTTCCATCTCTATGATTTTGACTACTTGTAAGTACCTCATATAAGTAGAATCCTACAATATTTGTCTTTTTGTATCACATAATGTCCTCAGAGTTCATCCATGTTGTAGCATATGTCAGAATTTCCTTCCTTTTTAAGGCTGAATAATATTCTTTTATGTGGATATACCATATTTTGCTTATCGGTTCATCAGTCAATGCACCCTTGGGTGGCTTTCATGTTTTAGCTACTGTGAATAATGCCACTATGAACATGGTGTACAAACAGCTCTTTGAGATCTTGCTGTCAGTTATTTTGGGCATATAACCAGAAGCGTAATTGCTGGATCATATGATAGTTCTATGTTTAATTTTTTGAGAAACTGCTGTACTGGTTTCCACAATGGTTGTACTGTCATCTTCACCAACACTTATTATTTTCTGGGTTTTGGTTTTTGTTTTGGACAGTAGCCATCCTAATGAGTGTGAGGTGGTATCTCATTGTAGTTTTGACTTACTTTTCCTAATCATCATTGATGTTGGGCATCTTTTCATGTGCTTATTGGACAGTTGTATATCTTTTTTGGATGTGAGTTGTTCTTTTTTGTTGTTGTTGAATTTTAGGAGTTCTCAATATATTCTGAACACTAATTTCTAGTCATATATATGATTTGCAAATATTTCCTCTCAATCTGTGGGTTGCTTTTCTACTCTGTTCGTGGTATCTTTTGATGCACAAATTTAAAAAGTTTTCATGAAGTCCAGTTTGTCAGTTTTTTCTTTTGTGCCTGTGCCTTTGGTGTCATATCCAAGAAATCATTGCCAAATCCAATGTTCTGACTTGTTATATTTTTTGTATTGCTTTAAAGCCTCACCGCCTGTACACACTTATTTCTTTCTTTCTCTCTTCAATCAAGTTATTAGACCAATAGATCAATAACACATTTTAGACTTCATAAATCTTTATTCACTCATTCCACAAACAGGGAGAGTGTTCCGACTAGAGAATAGGCAGAAGCCAGAGCAAATTGGAAATGGAAGCACGTAAGCACAGCTGGCTGGAGCGGAACGTACATGAAGGGGTTGGTGGGTGAGAAGTCTGGAATTTAGATGAGGCCACACCATGTCAAATCTTATCTGCTGTGGTGAGTAGATGGATTGAAGGTAGTCTCACAGTCATAGAAGCAAGTTGGAGAGCTACTACCTAATGCTCTGTTGAACTGGGCACTTAACCTTTCTGAGCCTCAGTGTTCCCATTTTATTCATTTAACAAACACGTGGTACCAAACTCTATTCTAAGCACTGTATAAATATTAACTCATTGATTTTGTCCACCAACCCTATGAGGTACTTACTCCTGAGCAAGGAGTATTATCTCCATTTGACAGAGTGGGGAGCTATGCCCAGAGAGGTTAGGTAACATGTCAAGGTCACAGAGGCCAGTAAGTATTGGAGCTGGGATTTGAACCCAGGCTCTCTAGTTCCAGAGTTCATGCTCTTAACCACATGTTGTATTGCTTCTCTGAAACGGAGAAGAGTAATTCCTTCCTCTAAAAGTTACTCAGAAGGTGAAGTGAAACAATGTATGTGAAGTTACATTGTATGTTGCACACTGTTTTGCCAATACTGATTCTCATTAGTTAATAATAATTTAACAACACTTTGGAAATGGGTAAGATTCTCAAGGACATAGGGAGAAAGGAATGGATCAAGGACTGAGCCTCGGGAAATGTTTTTGCTGAGTAGCAAGAGCTTGGTTTTGAAAAGACATTTGACAGAGTCATGGCTGACGCCCTTGTGGACAGGGTCATGGTCAGTGAAGAGCCCCAGCCTCCAGACTTTCAGTCCCTGCTGAAGGAAGTTTTGGAGGTTGGTAATGTTGATAATGTACATACAGAGGGGACCAAAGCCAGGTCTCTCCCACTGACAAACCAAGAATTCAGACAAGGACCATAAGGCCACTAGGGTTCTGATTCTAGCTTCTTTTCCACCTTCTGGTGCATGTTCCCAAACAGACCAGGGCTTGGACCAGCTTTACAGGTGAAGTGAAAGGTTTCAAACCAGGAAGTTACTAGGTTTATGGTGCCCTTGTGGGGACAAGAGCAAAGCACTGTACATTGTAACAGACCCTGGACTGGCTGGGTGGGGACATCCCTCTGGGGTTGCAGAGGCTGAGTCGCTGCACCCACCATCTTTGGAACAACTTTCATGTGTGTGCCGCAGAAAGACGGAGGGAATGCAGGAAAGGAGACCGGGGATTCTGTGATCTCTTTCCGGCTCTCAACGAGTTGTGTGGTCTGGTTTGTGGGCGGGATGGGGGATTCACTCTCTCTCAGTTACCTTAGTGCAAATCAAATGGTTATTCGAACCTTCCTCCCAACTCCACGCCCTCAACTGCTCCAGCTGGTGATTGATGTGTATAAAATGCTTTGAGGTGCTGAGATGAAGAGCCCCTGAGAATATGGCCAACATAGCATCACAGTGACCTCACCTGAACTTATTTGAAGTGGTGTCTTAGGAACATTTCCTCACCTGGAGAGTTGTTTATTCGAGCATCTTACGTACCTACCTGTTGGCATGTGATTTCTTTAGAAGAGGGCATCTGGTGGTCCCGGCTTTTAGGGTGCTCAGCTCTTCATAAAAATGGGAGACCACAGAGGAGGAAGTGAGCCGCTACCCTGATTGGGTATATTTAAGGATATCAGAAGAGAACCTTACACTAAAAGAAATGATTTGCTCTGGAGAAGACTTTTGAAGAGGTCAGGTGTGTCTTGTCGTGTCCAGCGCCCTTGTTAGGTGCCAAGAGTCCTGCATCCTCTGACCAGCATGGTCTCCCAACACAAACCCAAGCCTGGGCCTGCTGTCTGTGGACTCTCAGGCCGCCCCTTCGATGGCCCCATTTGTAATGGGCATTGTGCGGGTGAGTGAGGCCTCCTTTTCCTTGCAGTGGCTTATTGACTGGGTCACGGACCACCTGATCCCCAAGAGACTGCATATACTCTGGGGGGTGAAAAGCTTCTCTATGTTCCATATGAAGAAACTCCACCATACTAGGGTCCATGGTTCCATGGCGTGGTCCGTGGCGAGAAGAAAAGGATAAGAAGGTCTCCAGCAGGAGGCTGAGGAAGGCAGAGCTGTGCCTGAGGAGTCGGCCTAATCCTGAGAAAGGGAAGGTTCCTGGTACCAGTGTCCAAAGAGGTGGGGTCTTGACGTGTTATATGCAGATCATGGTGTATCAGAGTATCAGTCAGGATTCTTTAAGTTGCAAGTGCCAGAAACCCTGCCAAATTAGCATAAGTGAAGGAGAAAATTCACCAGCTCGTATAACTGAGGAGAACAAGAAAATTCAGAATCACACATTACTTCATCAGCATTTGTGAATGGATTCGTTGCATGTTCTCCCTGCCCTCTTCTTTTTCTCTCTTGCTCTCTTTCTCTTTCCCCCTTTCTCCCTCTCTCTCTCCTTCTCTCACTTTTATTTGCCTGTAAGCACTTTCCATGTAGTGTCCAAGATGGCCAACTGCTGCAGCCCCAGGCTCATGCTATCAGCCTACCAACCCCATGGTAGGCTAGTCTGTCCTCCGGCTGTTCCAGCCAAAGTCCTGGGTCATGTGACCATGGCCTAAGAATACGGGAAGGGTCCTCTCGCAAAGTAAAATCAGGGTGAATGCTTCAGATAGAAGCCACAGTATGAAGTGAAGGCTCACTGTGTGCCAGACGCTGTTCTAGGCACTTGATACAAATAAACACACTGTTCTTTTTTACAGGAGCTGGGCTTCAAACCCAGGCAGACTTCAGAGTCTATACTCTTAACCACCATGCCACACAACCTCTGACAAATATAGGGTAACAGCCATATGAGCAGGAAAAAGGTCCACTATAAGTCAATGAAAATCAGAGTTCTAGGTAAAAATATGAGGTGGGACTAGAACATATCCAAATTTATACAATTAAATAAGGGAAAGCGAGGGCATCCACCTTTATATTGTAGTAATTCTGTTTTTGCAAAGCAAGGCATTTCTAGAATTATTTCTTGGGAATTAGCATGCAGGCCAGTTTATAAAACACAATAGATACCTGTCTCAATATTCTATAGTGTTGCCTTGTTTGTTAACCCAAAATGATATTGATCACTCCCTCGAGTGACAAGATTTGGCTTTGAATGACTTGAAGCTGTTGCCAGTCTAATCCAGCAGACGTGTCACCGTCTGTGGGAATATTCAAGAGAACTGAAGGCAGTTCCCAAAGAGGACTGACTGATACTTGGAGCCATGACAGTAAAGACAAGGACCCGCACGCCCAGGCTTCCCTGGTGACCTCACTGAGAGGGCTGGCTCTCTTTCCCAGGAATGATTTCCGATACATTTATTCAGACCTCAGTCATGTTCCAGTGGTGTAAAGTGATTTATTTGGTCATGGCAGGACGTGGAGAGTGTGGGAGTCTGAAACACCTTCGTGTCTGGCACCAGCACTGGCCAGGAGAGTGGTAATGTGAGTCACACTTGAATTTGCTTCCATTCAAATGGGCCCTGGGGAAGCTGGCTGCCTGCCAGGAAGCCTTCCCTGGCTGGGACATTCCACATCCTATCTCTTGTTAAAGTACACCCCTGGGGAATCTGCTGGGGCTTGTGCCTTTCCCTCTCCAGGCCTCCTGGCAGAGGCTGGGGCTTTGGATTTCCCTGGGTGGTCAGCTCTTTGACCACGTCCCCCCGCGCCTCCCGGAGAGGGCTGTAGCTGAGGACCTCAAGGATAGCACTCAGCCCTGGGCTCTCTGATTCTGGCGTTCACTGGTGTCCCTGCTAATAGGGCCACTAGAGAGCCACCAGGTCAAGTAATACTTTATTCCTCCCCCCACTTTTGGATTGAAAGTTTTGCATCCTATTTTTATTCTTTTAGTGGCTACCTTTGTAATGTTAACACTCATATTCAACTTAACAGTGACCGAGTTTTGAAGGCTAGTCATTCATCAACAAATCATTATTGAGTTACCTACTATGTGCTAGGCACTTGTCCGGGTGCTGGGAAAACAGCCTAACCAGGTCTGCCCTGAGTACAAAGTAACTTGGAATATTTTTACTCCAGTCATACCTCTAAGAGCTCCCATTTTGCTTAGTGTTTTAATTTCCTCTTGTTTTCAAAGCTCCCAAGTTAGCTATTTTTATAAAATTTGTTGTCGCTGTTTAACTTTTAAAATTTAATTGTTTGCAGTTCTGATTCTAGATTCATCCATATAGTTACCATTTTCTTTTCCTTATTTCTGGATTCAGTTTCCTTCATGAATTGTATCTTTAAGGGGATCATTCAATAAGGAGTGATTAGTAAACATTCAGTCTCTGCTTGCCTCAAAAGTATATCGTGCCCTCTCTTGAATGGTATTATAGAACTTTAAGGCAAGAGTTCTTTTCCTTAGCACTTCCAAGAGATTATTCCACTGCTTTCTTCAAAAGAAGAGTCTGCTGTTTATCTAATTGTTACTTCTGTATAGGAATTTTTTTTTTTTTTTTGCGGTACGCGGGCCTCTCACTGCTGTGGCCTCTCCCGTTGCGGAGCACAGGCTCCGGACACGCAGGCTCAGCGGCCATGGCTCACGGGCCTAGCCGCTCCGCGGCATGTGGGATCTTCCCGGACCGGGGCACGAACCCGTGTCCCCAGCATCGGCAGGCGGACTCCCAACCACTGCGCCACCAGGGAAGCCCAGAAAATTTGTTTTTACCATTTTCTCTTTATCTTAGTGTTTGTCATTTTTCGTTGTGTTGCACCTTGGTATAGACTTTTTCTGACTTATCCTTAGAACTTGATATGCTCTTTTGTTCTAAGGACTCATGTGTTTCTTTAATTCTAGAAAATGTTCAATTATACCTCTAAATAATGCATCAACCTTAATGTAGGCAGTGTAGGTCCACCCTAACGTAAGTTGGATGCTTTTGACTCAAGTAACAGACACCTAACTGGAAATAGCTTTAAAAATAATTTTTACAAATGTATTACTTCGCATAACCAGAAGCCAGGATGAAGGTGACTTCCGGATTTGTTGATTCAGCAGCTCAGGGGTCCAGGCTTTCCTCTTTGCCATTCTCAGCATGTTGGCCTCACACCTCTAATGATCCCAAGGTGGCTGCCACAGCTCTGTGCTCTCTAGTGCCTTTGTGAGATCATCAAAGCAGCTTTTCCCAGAAATCCACTGACTTCTGCTCCTGACTAATATGCCAGAATTGCAAGGAGAAAGGCAACACAATGATTTGTTTAGCCCACTCAGGACTCTGAGAACCAGGGATCCGATCAGCCTTCTCTGAGTCACTGGAGGAGGATTGGACACCAAAACAAAGTCAGAGGTCTGCCAGTAAGGGAAAAAAACCTGACACTGGTTACTGGATAGGCACCCAACAGTATCTGCTACCCTTTCTCTCTAATCTCCCCTGATACCACTTCTTTCAAACATACGTTGAATCTTCTTAACCTGCTCTTCATGTATCTTGACTTTTATTTCATATTTTCATTTTCTTAATCTTTTTTTGTTGCTTTCTGGGTAACTTCCTCAGAGCTGTTTTCCAGTTCACCATCTTTGTCTTTAGCTGAATCTGCTGCTCTGCATACCCATTGAGTTTTACATTTTGTTAGCTAAAATTTTAATTTCTAGAATTTCTATTTGGTTCTCTTTCACAATTGCTTATTATTTTTTTCATGATGTCTTATTCTTTCATTATGGTTTCTACCTCTTTTCCTTTTAAAGCTTTTAATTGTATTTATATTATGGTCTCTTTTATGTTTTTCTATTAATTCAGGTTCTGGGAATGTCAATTCTCCTGGTTTTTGTTTTGTGGATTCTCCCTCATGGCAAATGCTGTGCACTCACTTTCATTAAATGTTTGTTTTGTGAGTGTGGAAATTCACTATAGAGCCATTTTGTGTTTACTTTGGCCAGCATTCATTTTTGCATGAATTTATTAGCTTGGATTTCTGCACCACGCAGAACTTATAAACTTGGTACCCTCATCAGCATGGCACGTGTCTCAGTGTTTGACTTCTCATGGAAAAAAAACTTCAGTGCTCCACCCAGAGCTTCAGGTAAATGACTGTTTTTGCCACTTCCCTTTGCCAGTAAGAGGAGTTTTTCTGATTCTTTTTCATGGAGGAGGCAGCCCTTCTAGAACCCACTCTTTAGGCAGGATATTGGTTCCAGTTCTCTGCCTTGTGGGACCCAAAGTCATCCTCCCACATAAAAAATCTCAGCCCAGGGCTTCCCTGGTGGCGCAGTGGCTGAGAGTCCGCCTGCCGATGCAGGGGACACGGGTTCGTGCCCCGGTCCGGGAAGATCCCACATGCTGCAGAGCGGCTGGGCCCGTGAGCCATGGCCACTGAGCCTGCGCGTCCAGAGCCTGTGCTCCGCAGCGGGAGAGGCCACAACAGTGAGAGGCCGCGTACTGCAAAAAAAACCCTCAGCCCTAGGGGTCTTGAACTAGGTCTAATACCCTTTTGGCCACAGTTGTGAGATTACAACTCTGGCTTTGAGTTTTCTCTCCGTTTCTGTTACCTATGGATTTCCCTTTCTTTTTCCAAGGTTGGCTTTTTTTTTTTTTTTTTTAAATTTTGGGTCATATCTAACCCAGCCTTTCTATGAATTTGGAGTAGGAAAGGTGTTCCCATCAGCTGAGTTCACCACGTTCCCAGAAATGATTCCCATAATAAGTGAGAAACACTGCTTTGCTTGGGTAAAGTAATTATACCTTATAAAGTTCTTTCTGTTCATTCTCTCATTTGCCTTCTATATTATATTTTTAATTTCTTAATTTTTCTGACTGCATTCTGGGAAATTTCCTTGAACCTGTTTTTTTTTTTTGCGATATGCGGGCCTCTCACTGTTGTGGCCTCTCCTGTTGCAGAGCACAGGCTCTGGACGCGCAGGCTCCGCGGCCATGGCCCACGGGCCCAGCCGCTCTGCGGCATGTGGAATCTTCCCAGACAGGGGCACGAACCCGTGTCCCCTGCATCAGCAGGTGGACTCTCAACCACTGTGCCACCAGGGAAGCCCCGAACCTGTTTTTATATTTGAAGAGTGATTTCATACTGATGCCTGCAATAACCAAGCTAACACCACAGCGTTCTTCTTCACCTTTCTCTATTCTGTAATTCATATCTCCTTTCTCCCATGATTAGAAATGTGTTTCCCAACATAAGCATGTGTACTCAGTTGCTGTACACTCAAAAGAATTGTAAACTTAAAACACCATTAACAACATCTAACCTACTAAGTAAACTTAGTTCTCTTGTCTTTACAATATATGCCATTAAGAGTTTACAGTCAAAATATCATATTTAAAAGCTACTTGACTTAATTCTTTTCTCTGTATGATTATGTTATCAATCTAATATATACTTAGCCTTATTTTTTTTCAGTTTGCAGTCAATTTATATCTACTTTTTGCATCCATTTTTACTTAACTTTTTTAGTATGTAAAATAGTTACTTGGTTCAAAAGGCAAAACTGTAAAAACAAACTGAGAGAAGTCCACTTCCATCTGTATCTTTGCTTCTGGTTATCTTTCCTATTTTTCTTTTTGTATAAGTAAGCATATATTTATGTATATTTTATGGGCAAATGTATTTTTATTTCCCCCTTTTTCTCACATATTTTCTTTTTATAACAACTACTGCCTCAATGAATAAAATAACCATGGGCATCTGTTACTTAATATTACGAACTTATGTCTTCAGGATAAATATCTAGAAATGGAATTGCTGGATCAAAGGCTCTGTGTCTGTGTAGCTTGGTTAGCTATTGCCAAATCCCCCTCCCTAGGGCTGTTACATTTTGTGTTCCCATGTGGAGCGTTGGAGAATGCCTGCTTCCTCCCAGCCGCCCCGGCAGGGACTGTTGCCAAGCTTTTGAATCTTTAGTGACATGAAAGGAAAGAAATGGTACCTCAGTGTAGTTTTAAAGTGCATTCCTCTTATTTTGAAGCAATGGGGCATCTTTTCATGTGTTTAAGTACAATTGGTATATCTTTTTCTGTGAACTCTGTCTTTTTTTTCTAGTTTTATTGAGATATAATTGACACATAACATTGTATAATTTCAGATGTACAACATGATGATTTGATATACGTGTATATTGCAAAAAGATTACCACTATAAATTTAGTTAACATCCGTCACCTCATATCGTTACACTTTTTTAAAATGTCTTTTACTCACTTTTCTATCTTTTTCTCTCTCTTTAAGTTAGAATGATTGGTCCTGTGATATGTTTTAAATATTTTCTCCCATTTTGTCATTTGTCTAACGATTCAGAATTTGTTTTCTTTACCACACTGTTATCACTTAGGCAGTTAAGTATAACATGCTTACGTAGGACTTTATTTTGAGATACCAGTTAATAATTTACTTATAAGAGTGAACAAAATTCAGAACTCAAAAAATAAAAGCAAAACCCAGAAATAAGCTTACAAAGACACAGACATAGAAGGCATAATGCTAAAGTATATTTACTGCACAAAGCTAGAGTACCTAACGTATTGCATAACTGAATCAAAATTCAGAATATTTTAGCAGCCTGGAAATACGGGCCAAAAGGCACAAAGTAAAATTTAGTAGACATAACGTTTTGTATTTAGGCTTAAAACCACTAATGCCATACATTTAAGCCTGGGGAAACCTGCCTTCACAGAAACTCAAATGTGTGTAAACTTTGGGTTTTAATTGACCACACATTTACGTAAGTCCAGCAGGGTAATATGGTTGCCAAAAGAAAATGCACTCCTAGAGTGAATAGTATCAGAAGATTATCCTGATCATGGAGAAAATTGCCCCTTTATGTACTTACTAGACCACGTCCAGAACGGTACGTTCAGTCTTGGGGTCCACAAATGAAGAGGGTCGTTGACATCCACGGGCAAGTCCAAAGCAGGGAGTCTGAGTTAGTAAAGAGTCTGGAAGTCACATCAGGAACCTGGGAGTTTTAATCTGGAGAAAAGAAAGCAAGTAATCTGTGAAGTATTTGAAGGCTGTCAAGGGGAGGAGGGATTAGAATTATTCGATGTTACTCAAGCTCGCAGCATCTGTGGTTGTGACCTACGAGTGCGCCTGTTGGTAAAGGGAGACTTTCTAACTGGCCTTTAGGGCTGCTGGGAAGAGGAAGAGCCGCCTTCCTCACCTACCAGCTCCCTATGGCCAAAGGTGTCTGGACAGAGGTGCCAGGTCAGGCGGGCGCTGTCGGGAAGGCTCTGCTGCTGTGTGTAGGCAGTCTAGGCACCAGGGTTCTTGCTTTCTGGCTCGGGGAAAGCAATCTTCCCTTCCTTTCCGGTGTATTCTCTTTGCTGGGAACAAGAGCAGGTGGGGAAAGTGATCTGTGGGATTTTTTTGGCTGATTCAAGTAGATGAAACTTTTGGAGAAACATTCGTCTGTAGGATTGAATGTTAAAATGTGTCCACCTTGAGTTTTCAGCAAGATCCGGAGCCAGCGTCCCAAGAGCAGGGACTGCCCCTTGTTGAGAACGGTGTTTGTGGGCAAAGACCTCGAACTGGGCCGCCTCTTACCCATTTAGCTCCTTGTCCTCCCTCACCGTGGCTGATGAGAGCAGTAGTGATGCCTCAGTATGAACTGTACTTGTTTAAACCCTGCTTAGGGATCTCAGAATGACTCCTATGCTAATCTTATTGTCCAACTTGAATGGGCACATGAATCAACGGGGGACGGCATTAACGTGCACGTTCTGATTCAGCAGTTCAGAGGTGGGCGTGAGATTCTGCATCTCTAGTAAGCGCCGGGTGATACTGATGCTGCCGGTTCCGGGTCCACCCTGCATTGCAGGAGTCAAAAGCAGCAGTCCGCCTAGCCCAGGTGGACTGAATCAGAATCACCTGCCCTGTGGTTGTCTAAAATGCAGACTCCTAGGCTGTACTTCTGTTCTCTGGGACCAGACATCTCTAGGGATGGAGCCCAAGAATCAGCTCTTTGAGCTGGTACTGCAGGTGATTCTTAGGTACATTAAAGGTTTTGAACCACTGGTGCTAGGGGGAATGGATAGGGTGGTTTAGACTCAAGGAGCGGGAGTGGACTTCCGTGGTGGTTGAGTGGTTGAGAGCTCACCTGCCAATGCAGGGGACACGGGTTCGAGCCCTGGTCTGGGAAGATCCCACATGCCGCAGAGCAACTAAGCCCACGTGCCACAGCTACTGAACCTGCGCTCTGGAGCCTGCGAGCCACAACTACTGAAGCCCGTGCGCCTAGAGCCTGTGCTCCGCAACAAGAGAGGCCCCCGCTCGCTGCAACTAGAGAAAGCCCACATGCAGCAACGAAGACCCAACGCAGCCAAAAGTTAAATAAATAAATAGATAGATTGGGGGAACACATCGTTCACAGGGACACGGTGAGTCGTGTAGAAAGTCGGTTGTGGAAAGCTGGCCACTTCTGTAGAGCTTGCGTGGAGACGACTGGCTGGGTGACCCGGGGCCTCTGCAGCTCTTCTGTAAAGTGCGCAGGCTGTGGATTGATGACTGCTCTCCTGTCTCTGGGTCTTGTCTTTCCAGCCGTCCAGCATGCTCTGCCCACCCCCCGCCGAGGCGCACTGACCATGAGCTTCAACTCCTCCCTCAGCCACAGGAAGGAGCTGAGTAACCTCACCGAGGAGGACGGTGGCCGAGGGGGCGTCGTCGTCACCGAGTTCATCGCCATTGTCGTCATCACCATTTTCGTCTGCCTGGGCAACCTGGTCATCGTGGTCACCTTGTACAGGAAGTCCTACCTCCTCACCCTCAGCAACAAGTTCGTCTTCAGCCTGACGCTGTCCAACTTCCTGCTGTCCGTGCTGGTGCTGCCTTTCGTGGCGACCAGCTCCGTTCGGAGGGAATGGATCTTCGGCGTGGTCTGGTGCAACTTCTCGGCCCTCCTCTACCTGCTTATCAGCTCGGCCAGCATGCTCACCCTCGGGGTCATCGCCGTCGACCGGTAAGCTTGCATCACACTCAGAGAATGAAGGGTTTAGGAGTGTGGGTGAAGGGGGAACCTGAGAGATCATGTGGGCTGTGCCCTCCAGGCTGCCTCAGTTCCTCGGGAGGGTGTCACGTCTGTGCTGGGGAGGGTGAGAAAGCAGAGTTCTGCCTCTTCTTCTATCCCCTCAACCAGAGCACCTCTGAATTTATCTGGTCTAGCTTGCATGTAGTTGGGGACTTCCCTGGTGGTCCAGTGGTTAAGACTCTGCGCTTCCAGCTGCAGGGGACGTGGGTTCGATCCCTGGTCAGGGAACTAAGATGCCACATTCTGTGCAGCGTGGCCAAAAAATGAGAAAAACAAATTAGAAAGAAAAGTTCTATTAACTTCTGCTTCTCAGTTAATAGTTGAGAAACAGAAGCTGAGGAAGGTGACGTGGCAGAGGAGGTATCAGATCCAGGTCTTCCCCAAAGTGCTGCCTGCTCTCTGTTGCTTTGGGTTGGGCCAGAGCTGCACCGGGGCAGCCCAAAGAGGAAATACTCTCTATCCTCCACAGTGCAAGGGCCTGAACATCAGCTCAGTCCTGGATGGAAGGAGAGCAGGGGAAGGGAAGACAACGCAGGGAGTAAGATGGTGGCGCCTGGGAGAGACAGTGTGTGCTTTAAAACATCTGGGCTGTCCCTTCTTGTGGCATAGCTGGCTCCAGCAAGGAATAGCACTGCTGACGCCCCTCAGCTCTATCTAGAAGGTTCTTCCAGATTCCTGCGTTAGGCTGTCAGATTTAGTTGTGAAAGTCCTGCAGGCTCTGACAGAGAGTTTCCAACCCCTGGAGTCTTCTTTATTAGGATTTTGCCAATGGTCACTTCATTCATCCCAGGCAAGGGTTCAACTGTACAGGGCAGAGGGGGGAGATTCAGATTCTCTGTGATTTATAGAATTGGGGAGGGAGTCAGGGAAAACACAGAGGGGTTCCCCAGGGCTGTCGTCACTGGGTGACACGAGTCCCCTGGCTCCCTTGGGATCGTCCATTTTTGAGCCGATGAGTGGTGGCTGGATGGTCTACCCAAGGTGCAGGCCTCCGCTAGGGCCAAGGCCAGAATCCTTTCAGCCCTCTGCCCCTGAGGGGGGTTAGAGGGAAGGAAGCCATTGGTCAGAACTAATCAGGTGCCTTCTCCAAATATCTCCTTTCCCTCCAACAGAAGAAAATAATACCAAAAGTAGAAAGAGTACAATAAGAAATATCCATAATCCCACTGATCAGAAGCAGTCACTGTTTACTTTTGTTTGTTTGTTTGTTTGTTTGCGGTATGCGGGCCTCTCACTGTTGTGGCCCCTCCCGTCGCGGAGCACAGGCTCCAGACGAGCAGGCTCAGCGGCCATGGCTCACGGTCCCAGCCACTCCACGGCATGTGGGATCTTCCCGGACCGGGGCACGAACCCGTGTCCCCTGCATCAGCAGGCGGACTCTCAACCACTGCGCCACCAGGGAAGCCCCATCTTAATGGTTGAACGTGGCTGGTCAGAGGACACGGGGACAGCTCATGTTCCCCAGGCCTGGCCTCCCACACCTACCTGTACACTCACCCCTGAAGTGTTGCCTGAGGTCAGAGGGCCTGCACGCATTTTAAATGGGCAGAGGAAAGGAGAAATATCCGCCTTGTTTCTTTTTAAAAGTGGAGAAAACCTTCCTGGAAGTGCCCCCAGTCCCACCCCAGCAAACTCCCCTCACATTTCATTTGCCAGATGATGTCACACAGGTCAGTGCCTCAGCTGGTCACCTGGCAAGGGAGGGGATACCACCAGCATGGCCTGATTCATCCCCTGGTGCTTAGAAGGGCCCAGCGTCCCCTGTGGTCACAGCAGTTTTGCAGGAGCAAGATAGGGATTCTGTCTTCAGGAAGGAAGGGGGAAAGGTCAGTGCACAGTGTCCCAGCTCTGTCCCCGCTGCCATCTGAAGGGAGGTCCCATCCAGCCCTTTCCCCCCACTCGAGCCCATTCTGTCCTTGGAGCAGATCCATGCCAGACGTTCTGTGATTCCCATCTTCCTGGTGAAGGAACTGAAGCTCTGAGAGCTTAGCTCAGCTACCCAAGGTCACACAGCTAGTGGACAGCAGAGTCACCATCTGAACCCAGGGATCGCCAACTCCAAAGGCATGCTTCTTTCACGGGGCTGCACGGCCTTTGCAAGATGCGAACCCAGATGTCAGCAGAAGACAGGAATCGCTTTACCCCAGGCTCTGTGCAGGGGTTCTGTAATCCATACCGTAATCGCGGTGGTTTCCTCTCATCAGGCTCCACGCTCAGGAACACTCCTTCCAGGCTAGACCTTGGTGGGGCCTCGAGGCTTGAGACCAGCAGTCCCCGTCTTGCCTCTGACTTGGAAGGCCTTTCATACAGGGACCCCTCCATGAGAGCCTGCCCCAGGCAGCAGGTGGTAATTCAGGCCATGGCCCCCGTCCCTGAGCTCTAGTGCCCAGGGGTGACTCAGGAAGGTCCTGGTGGAGCAGGTGGTTCACAGGTGGTGTGTGAGGCTCACAGCCATAGTCATCTCCTAAGGTTCCGCCTGTAGCAGGCAGCCTCAGCGTGGTCACCCCTGTCCCGCCACACGTTGCCCTCCTGCAGAAGCTCCATCATTAAAGAACATTTCCTTTGGATAAAACGTCCGGGTGGGGAGGCTCGTGGTTTACTTTCAACCCCATGGTCTAAATCCTCCCACCCACTCCAGTTAAAGGGTCAGAGCTCAGCTGGCGGGCAAGGCTCTGCACGCCCCGGCCCCCTGGCTCCTTTTCTCCCCGCGCACCATCACCCCGCGCCGGCCTGGTTGAGCCACAGGCAGCTTCCTCGTTGAGCCGGTGCTCAGGTACATCTCCGCGTCTCGCCAAGGCTGGCGTTCTGCCTCAGCTGCTCCTGGGCCAGTGCCTCTGTTCGTTCAAGACCTGAGTCTGTGTGCCATCTGGTCCAGGAAGTCCGCCCTGACCCTGCAGTCTGGATCCGAGGCCCCGTCAATAAGAATCAGTCGCTCTCCAGGCCTCTCTCCTTCTTCACAGAGCTGAGGGGTTAGGAACCACCCCTGGTCTGTGGACTCCGGAACAAGGCGGTGTGCAGGGAATTGCTGGCATGTGCGCCGGGGACTGTAGAGTCAGGTTGCCCGGGGTTTTATCTTGTTTCTGCCCCTTCCTTATCTAGAGCAGATTATTTATCCTTTCTCTGCTGTTAAGATGAGGATAATGATAATGCCAGTCACTCGAAAGACTTCTTGCGAGGATTAAATATCCCCTTTCTGCTCCAGAGCCTTGTACCCTGCTCATGTGTCTGTCTCCCCCTGCACCTTCTTACCTGTATTCCCAGTGCATAGCACAGTGCTTGGCATGTGGCAGGCCTTCAGTAAACGTCACTGAATGAACGTACCCCGTAATCCTTAGATGTTCTTCTGGTTTCTGAGGACCCTCTGAAAACAGCTCTAAAAGGATTACTGTCAGAAACACAGAAGGGATCTGGCTCGATGCACGGTCCCTTAGAACTCCTGGAGATGCCTGAAGACTAGCCACACCCCCAAATGTGAGTGGGCTCTGGAAACAGGGCTGCCTGAGCTCTGTGTTCTTCCTGGTGTCCAGCCGTTCTCCAATGAAGAGTTCCACGGAGCTGGGTCACGTGGCCAGGCTGTGACTTTTCTGGGTAGGGTTGAGAGAAGGTGCTCCTTTTAGAAGCATTCACCCCATGGCAGTGTTGAATGAGAGAAATCCAACAGAGCTCGCCACCTAGGAGAGCAGTGGGTGCCCCTCCTGGTGTGTCTTCTCTATGTTTAGTCCTCTCCCTCACCTGCCTCCATTCTTTTTCCAGCTACTATGCGGTCCTGTACCCCATGGTGTACCCCATGAAGATCACAGGTAATCGAGCCGTGGTGGCGCTCGCCTACATCTGGCTTCACTCCCTCATCGGCTGCCTGCCACCTCTGTTCGGTTGGTCATCGGTGGAGTTTGACGAGTTCAAGTGGATGTGTGTGGCTGCGTGGCACCGGGAGCCTGGCTACACCGCCTTCTGGCAGATCTGGTGTGCCCTGTTCCCCTTCCTGGTCATGCTGGTGTGCTATGGCTTCATCTTCCGCGTGGCCAGGGTCAAGGCACGCAAGGTACACTGTGGCACCGTGGTCCTTGTGGAGGAGGACACGCACAGGAACGGGAGGAAGAACTCCAGCACCTCCACCTCTTCCTCGGGCAGTAGGAAGAACGCCTTTCAGGGCGTGGTCTATTCGGCCAACCAGTGCAAAGCGCTCATCACCATCCTGGTGGTCATTGGGGCCTTCATGGTCACTTGGGGCCCCTACATGGTCGTCATCACCTCTGAGGCCCTCTGGGGGAAGAACTATGTCTCCCCAACCCTGGAGACCTGGGCCACTTGGCTGTCCTTTACCAGTGCCGTCTGCCACCCGCTGATCTATGGACTCTGGAACAAGACGGTTCGCAAGGAACTACTGGGCATGTGCTTTGGGGATCGGTATTACCGGGAACCGTTTGTGCAGCGGCAGAGGACTTCCAGGCTCTTCAGCATTTCCAACAGGATCACAGGTAACTTGGGAACTTGTCAGGGAAGGGATGCCCACCCTCAGGCGGGTGTAGCCTGTGGTCCTGCAGGCGCTCGGGCAGGTTGATGGGCGAGGTCTCGGACTGACTGCTGCTTCAGGGCTTAAAACACAGGTTTCCTCTGGGGAAAGAACATCGCAGAGTGTCCACTGTGATTCCCAAGCAGATTTCCTGAGCTTGGCAGTTCAAGGCAGGGTACACCAGAGTTCAGAAATCCATGTTCTGTGACCACAGCCATGGCCCGCTGGCCTGGAGAGTAGATCTAGATAGATCTATCTAGAGAAAAAAGAACCCAGGCATTGGACCAGGCTGCCTTCACCTTTCAGTGTTCCTTGAAGGCAGGGTCCTCTTTAAAGCACTTCCTGCCCTCCTCAGCTACTCCTCCTGGACATACTCCGTCTTGGGCCTTCCCTCACGGGTCGGTGGTTTCCTCGTATTGTCGCTAATAATTCAGGACGTGTCGATGGCGGACCTCCACTCTCTCATTGAAATGTCACTGTCTGGTATGTGTACAGCTGCTCCTCCATTTGGTAATTGATTTCGGAGCTCACAGTTTCTGGACATGATCCCATCCCCTTTGATGAGACCCAGAGGAATTACTCTAGTGGGGGATAGATTTTTTTTTTTAAACCTTTTTCTTTTGAGATAGTTTTAGACTCAGTGAAGCGTTGGGAAAACAGTACAGAGAATACCCATCCACCCAACTTCTCCTAGTGCTGACATCTTGCCTAACCGTAGCACAGCTATCAAACCTAAGACATCGCCAGGGGTGCAGCGCTATTAACAACTACAGACTTGACTCGGATTTCACCCATTTTCCCATGATGTCCTTTTTCTGTTCCAGGATCCAGTCCGGGATCCCACGTTGTATTCAGTTGTCACATCTCCTTTGTCTTCTTCAGTCTTTGACAAAGTCTTTTTTTTTTTTTTTTCCCCTTGTCTTCCATGACTTGACACTTTTTGTAGAGTCCTGATCGGGGATTTTGTAGAAGGCCCCTCAATTTGCATGTAGCTCATGTGTTCTCAGGGTCACAATGAGATAATACCTTTTTGGCAGGCAAGGCTGGGCGGGTGATGTGCTCTTCCTAATGAGCGTGCCAGGGGTACATATGTCAGTAGGTCTTCTCACTAGCTAGTTCTTACCCTGGTCTCTCGGTTGATGTCTTAGCTTGGGCTGCTACAACAAACTACCGTAGACTGCATGGCTTAAACCACAGACATTCATTTTTTCACAGTTCAGGAGGCTGGAAGTCTGAGGTCAGGGTGGCAACATGGTTGGGTTCTGGTGAGGACCCTCTTGCAGGCTGTCCTTTTGCTGTGTCCTCCCATGGCAGAGGGCTGGGGAGAGGGACAGGAGAGAGCAAGCTCTCCGGTCTCTTCTTATAAGCACCCCACCCTCATGACCTCTTCTAATCCTCAGTACCTTCCCAAGGACCCATCACATTGGGGGTTAGGGCTTCAGTGTATGAATTTGGTGGCAAGTACTTTCAGTCCCTACAGTTAAGATGGCGTCTGCCAAGTTGCCCCACTGTAAACTCACTGTTTTTTCCATTGTCATTAATAAGTACAACATAACAGATATTTTGAGGCTCCCGCTGTTTGTAGCATGCACTCGTGGATCTTGTCCCTGCAGTTATGACTGTGTTGTTTGAGGGAGACTGTCATCTGGACAGGCTGTTGGAAGAGAGACTCTGAGGGCACTTATCAGACCATATTCAAGGAAAGCTCCAGTTCAGACTGCAGTTCTAGTCTCTTGCCAGATGACTTTGGGCAACTCATGCTGCTCGAGATAATTTTTCCTCCTCAGGAAATAGGTCTTCCACCTACCCTCTCAAGAGAGTGGAAAGAAATAACAACTCTTAATTATCATGAATATTCAGTGGTAGTGATGACAGGAGTCTTTTCCATGTGGCAATTAAACAAACCAATGTCACTGATTTATCTCAGGGACTGATGGAGTGTTCCTTCTTGAGAAAGGAAGGAATTCTGGGACTTTTAATTTTGACTATAGGAGAAAAAAATCTCTCAGGACCCCAGTATTTTAATTCCTGAAATGCCCACCCCCTGCCACTGGCAAGACCATGATTCCAAGTGTGACTTGTGAGCCAGGAGGAGTACATTCAGGGTTTGGTTTCATTTCACTGATGAACTTACTTGTTCAGATTTTGTAAAATCACTTACCTTCTAGGCAAAAAAATAAAAATTAAAAAAACATTAAATGTTTTCGATTCCGATGAAGTTAAGAATGAGGAAGGGAAAAAAATGAGGAAGGAGAATGGAGGAGGAGAGGGTAGATAGAACAGAAAGAAACATCTGCTTTGGGGGCCAAGATTTTCCACGCAAGCCACTTGAGATTATCCTGGAAGAGCGTGTGAGGCCGTGAAAACAGGCGGAAAACACCCGCTGTGGTTGGGTTGGCAAGTCCAAGGCGGTGAGCAGTCTCCTCACTGAGGGAAAAGCAGTCTTGTGGGATGTGTTTGGGCTGAAGAGCATGTGGGATGATGGGTTCTGAGTTGCTGGCCTTCCCCTTGAATGGGAGCTGGGGGCATCCCTGCTGTCTCTTCCCGGGACGTCCTGACATCAGGAGGTGGGCAACAGCGTCAGCAGGAGTCTTGGAAAAAGAGCAGAATGCAGTGCCCACCCCAGCTCCGCGCTCTGCTCCAGCCACGCCAGGAATGCCCACAGCCTTTCTGGTCAGGAGGGAGAGCTCTGCCTTCCACCTGGCATCCCCGGTAAGAAGGATGGTAAGATTTGTTCCAAAGCCAGCAAGAAAAGGCTCGGAGGCCCTGTCTCGGTTTTGTTCCTCTCCGTTTGCATAGGCATCTGCAAAGTTTTCTCCAGAGGATTCAGTACATGGAATTATAAACTTTCCTAACCGTGCTTGTGAGCACAGGTGCAGTGAAGTGGCATTCCACAGACACCTGGCGCTTTCCTGCTGACTCCAGGAGGCCAGGAGTTTTACACATGCAGTCATGTTTATTTCATATATAGATTTCAGCCATAATCCGTGGATTTTGGTCTTCTCATTCTGTTAGCCCCAAAGTGAAGAAGTGCAGCAGCTTAGGTTTTCCCTGGGTGCCGGCTGTCACCGGGCCACCACAATACGTCTGCTTGTGAGTCTCATTAGCAGGTTCCCATGGGGCTCCCCTAGGAATTGAGATCTCTGGCCTCCCTGGGCTTTGCCGGGCAGGGCCGCTGCATGGTGGGTAGGTCAGCCCTGGAGTGGACCTTGATTCCAGTGCTGAAACGTGAGCTAGATGCTTACGTTTGGTCTTGGGAGGCCAGACGACAACTCCAAAGCTGACAGGCGGCTACAGGTGATCGGAGCAAAGAAGGGGCCTTCAGGAGAAAGGGCCACGGGCTTCTCCAACAGCTCTGCCACTCGCCAACCCAGTTGGGGTGGACAGCCCAGACATCGGCCCGACCCCGGCTTCGAGGGAGGCCTGGGCATGGTGGGAGGCCAGCCTCTCCAAATGCTGCCCTCGTGTGATGCTCGAAGCTCCTGGAACCGGGAATAGAGCCTTCCCAGCTGTCTTCTGCAGGGAAGGACGCTGGCTCCCATTTACTCAGAGGAAATGCCCCACCTCAGGGCCCTTGTGAGGTCTGGGCTGGAGGGAAGGAAGGAGACCCTGGGGCCTTTGAATTTTCCTGCCTTGTTTTGCCAAGTTCCCTTCCTGGCGCCACCTAGAGGTCTTCTGGTTACTTCAAAGTGCCAATGTCACCCCAGAATTGCACTCTGTTCTTTTAGCCGCTCAAAGGCACTCATGACTCTTCTGGCCACTCCAGGCTTCTGATCTGATCCCTGTGCCTGTCGTTTTGTGCCTTTTTCTTTCTTTCTTTTTAAAAAAAATTTGTGAAAGGGGTTGGATTGGGCCCACCCAGTAGATGTGGTGTTGTTTCATGTGAAAAAACTCAGGGTAACTGAGTCTACTCTCCAGTGGTAAAATGCTGGATAAACGGAATAGGGAGTTGCCGCCCGGCTGCCCTGTTTCCACATCTCTTAGCCGAGCCGCATTGGTCTGGCTCCAGTGATTTCTCCCACTGGTAGAGACCAGGACTTGTGCCTGGCTTTCACTGCAGACTCAGAGATGGCGTCCAGAACCCACTGTGGCCTCAGCCGTCCCGGATGGCAGTGGATGTTCCCCCGGCGACCCACCCCTCCGCAAGCCGGGCTTCCAGCTGAGACATAGTCATATTCTGAGGCCAAGACCCTGGAGGTGGCTGACCATGTTTGGGCTCTTCTCTGGCCCCAGACCTCCACACCAACCCCCAGGAGAGGGGCAGGCTCCTTGCAAAGGTGCTTTCCCCACAGGCCATGACAGGGAGCTTCTGAGAGCAGCGTGCTCTGACTGCACGGGTTCAGCCCCCATCATTTCCTCCATGGCTCTGAAGGAGAAAGGAGGGCATGTGTGTCATGTTGCTTTGTCCCCTTCATTAGGATGAAGGTACAGGGTGGAGGTGTCTCCTGTGTGTAGGTTTGCTGGGGAGGAACGCTGGTGGCCTTCGTGGCAGGTAGGTAGGTCTTCCTCGTGAGATCGGAGGAGTTTGACTTTTCTGTGCTTTTTTTTAATTGCTAAGAGTGCCTTTTTTGTTAACTCCATGGTCTTTATGGCCTCCAGCTCTTTTGTTCATGGAGTCATTATTTTCTCAATTTTCTGAGGACACCCAATTAGAATTCTGTTTGTTTTCTGAAGCTCCCTGCATCGTCTCCCGAGACATCCTTTTTTCTCCCTTCTCTCCTTCCTCCCTTCCTTTTTTATTCCCCCATTTCTGCTAGTGCCTTTCCTTAAGTATCTGGTGATCTCCGCTGTCCCTCACGGTTAGTAAGTCGGCCCAGGAAAGCCAGCGGGAAGCCCTGGGCGGTGGTGGGACTGGGCCGTCTCACGGGGCGCCCAGATCTTGGGGTCTGTGGGGCTTTTCTCTCTGGCTGGCTGGATTTCCCTGGGGACGAGGTCTCTGGTCTCCTGCCCAGGTTAGGTGAGGCAGTGGGGCGGGGCCCCCACTGGTAACTATGTAGCCTCTCATTGTTCCCTCGGTTTTTGCCACGTTGCCATGTGCCTGGTGTCGCTAAGGCCAGAGTCCCCCAGTTCACTCTATCCACTCTCCTGCCAACATGGGGAACGGGAGCCTGGACCCCGAACTGGGAACAGCAGTGGAGGGGACCCACTGCTTCCTGTAGAGACTTTCCATCAAGCCCCACCTGCCTGCAGAGACTCCGGACCTCCAGTTCCTGAGCTTCTTGGGGGCCTCCTTCCAGGCCTCCCCCTCTGCCAGCCTCAGCTCTTTCCTGGGCTAGTTTCACTGCCCACTTCCCACCTTCCAACTTACAAACATCTTCTTCATTTGGGGGTTTTGGCCTCTTCAAAAAACATCCCTTTTGGTATTCAGGTAGGATCTCAGGAGTTAAACACGCACCCGTGTTTAACTGGAAGATCTTCTCCCAGGACTGTTCACCTCGTTTTCTCTCCCACCTGCCTTGTTGGTGTTTGACGTTTGTCACGAGCACTTCCCCTCTGGGGGGACCCAGTGAATCCTGTCACAGACTCCCCTGGATAGGAACAAGCGGCGAAGTGAAGGAAGGGCAGCTAAGAGCTTCGTGTCCTCGGTGCGTGGAGAGCACACTTTGCGAGGAGGACAGAGCGGACAGGGGAGCGGAGGCGAAGCCCCTGGGGACTGGGTGGGCCGTGGATTGTACAGTCAGTGCCGACCTTGCCTTGCAGACCTGGGCCTGTCCCCACACCTCACGGCACTCATGGCAGGCGGGCAGCCCCTGGGTAACAGCAGCAGCACGGGGGACACCGGCTTCAGCTGCTCTCAGGACTCAGGTAAGCCCCTCGCCTGTCGCGCTTCCCCAGTGCCTGCCGGGTGGGAGCTGGTGGGGAGAGGGATGTCTCCCAGGGTGTGGAGGGGCGAGAGGCAAGGGTCTGGGTGTCCCGTCACGGCTCTTCAGCATCTCTGTGCCCCAGTTTCCTCCTCTCTACAGTGGGGATCTCAGCTCCTGTTCTCTCTGCCATGCAGGGTTGTTGTGAGATTCAAATTAAGTGAAAGCCTTTGAAAAGTTAAAATGCTAAATGATTGTCAGTTGTTACTCGAATTATAATAACCATCGTCCAGTGCAGGCTCCGGAGTCAACCTGCTTGGTTTTCAGTCTCGAATTGACTTTTTTTTTTTTTTTTTTTTTTTGCGGTACGCGGGCCTCTCACTGTTGTGGCCTCTCCCATTGCGGAGCACAGGCTCCGGACGCGCAGGCTCAGTGGCCATGGCTCACGGGCCCAGCCACTTCGCGGCATGTGGGATCTTCCCGGACCGGGACACGAACCCGTGTCCCCCGCATCGGCAGGCGGACTCTCAACCACTGCGCCACCAGGGAAGCCCTCAAATTGACTTTTAAGAGCTGTGTTATCTCAGACAAGCTGCTCAGTTTGTTTCTAAACCTTCACGTTTCTCCATTTGTGAGCTGGGCCAGCTGTCCCTCTATCAGGGACAGCTCCAACCAGGTCAGATACCTTGTCACCATCATTAGATGCCCTGCGACATGCCTATGGGGAACTCGGTCTCCCCAAAGAAACACATCTCCAACAGCATTCTCCAGACCCTCCCTGTAGCTGCGGCCCAGGGGATGGTGCTGGCCCAGGACTCCTCCCCCCAGCGGCAGGCTCTGTGATGTCAGTCTGCTGCCGGCAGCTCTGGGGACCCAGATGCCACACCCCGTGCTTGCCAGTTCATGACTGGATGAGAGGCTTGTGGGCAGAGGCCGTTGGTGTCCCTACGTCAGTCATTCATGGAGCTGACGAAGCACCCCGTCCCGGGGCTGCTGTCTGTCCGTGTTCTGGGCGTGAAGGGAGGGTGCTAAATCCTGGCCCTCGACAGCAGGCTGTCTGTGGGCATTCCCCTCCCTGCTCTTGCATCTCTCCTGCCGGGGCCTTTGGAAAACTCCTCTCTGCCTTGACCTGTGTTTCTTGGCCTGAGTCTGTGTCACAGAATTCCGGGGGGACCGGCCATGGGCAGGGACCCAGCCCAGGCCTCCTGTCGTGGAGCATTTCCCCGCAGGCAGAACGTTCCCTGAGGATGTTCTCCCACTGGCAGCCCGGAGGCTTGAACCACTGGTAGCACCCGCCCTTGTAGGCCCGAGTCCCTGCTGTGACTTGAAGGACGGGAGGGTCTCTGTCTCTCCTCGGGCTCTCTCCCTCTTCTCAGACAACCAGCAGGAATCCAGAGGCAGAGTGACATTCATTCATTTAACAGATATTTACTTGCCAGGCCCTTGCTTTGAGCAGACACTGCGCTAGGTTCCGGAGATGTAGTGGTAAGCTGCCCTCATGGGGCTTTCCGTCTAGTGGGAAAGACGGCCATCCCATGCGCTTTAAATGGGTGAATTGTGTGGGATGCGAATTATACCTCAATAATTCTGCTTTTAGTAAGGGTTATAAGGGTGATGAGAGCTATGGAAGGGGAAGCCGAGTGCTGTGAGGACACGTAACGGGGTCGTATGTGCCCCCTGTTGGGGAGAACTTGTCGGCGGGGAGGGCGGTGTTAGAAAAGCTTCTCTGAGGAAGTGATGTGAAAACCTGAAGAGTGAATAGGAGGTGACCAGGCAAAAAGGAGTAAGGGGACAGTGTCGTAAGCCAGCGGTCCCCAACCTTTTGGGCACCAGGGACCGGTTTCGTGGAAGACAATTTTTCCACGGACCAGGGAGGGCGTGGTTCAGGCAGTGATGCCAGCGACGGGGGAGCCGCAGGTGAAGTTTTGCTCGCGTGCCCACCATTCACCTCCTGCTGTGCGGCCCGGTTCCTAACAGGCCGCAGCCCGGTACCGATCCGCGGCCCGGGGCTTGGGGACCCCTGTTGTAGGCAGAAGAAAGAGCGTGGGCTTTGGGGGTCACACAGACTGGAGTGTGAGCTTCAGCCCCGCTGTTTATTAGCCGTGTCCTCACGAGTGATGACTTTCATCGATGAGGCACCTGTTGTGCGCCAGGCAATGTGTCACATCGTCACACGTCTCAACTCAAAATCCTCCCAACAACTCTATGAGGTAGAGAGAATTACGATCCCCATTTTGTAGACATGGAAGGATGCTGAGGGACTAAATATCCTGCCTGTGATCGTAGATCTGTCCGATTTGGGAAGCTGTGTGCTTAACCACCATGTTGTGAAGTCCGCTAGAGGAACATGCCTTTTCAGGTTGCTCTGCAAAAACACATGAGGGAGGCTTCCCTGGTGGCGCAGTGGTTGAGAGTCCGCCTGCCGATGCAGGGGACACGGGTTCGTGCCCCGGTCCGGGAAGATCCCACGTGCCGCGGAGCGGCTGGACCCATGAGCCGTGGCCACTGAGCCTGCGTGTCCGGAGCCTGTGCTCCGCAACGGAGAGGCCACAGCAGTGAGAGGCCCACGTACCGCAAAAAAAAAAAAAAAAAAAACCCACATATGAGGAGCTCCCAGCTCCCCTTTCTTCCTAATTTCCTGAGCACCAAGGCCTTGAAGGACTGATAGCTGGAGGCTAAGACAGAACAAGACTGGTCCCCCCGCCCCGCCCCTGCCTGCCCACCTGCCCAGCTCTCTCTCATAGGACTTCCTTCCTTTCTGCCTTTTCCCCACTTTTTGGGGGGCATATTTCTCAATCCCTTTTTGGCCCCCAAAGAACTTTACATGTTCAGGTTTGAAATGTTTATTTAGCACGGCATACTTTAACTAGAATGATAGAAATTCACACTGTAAGAAGAATCACTGTGAACACAAAGCCCCTTTAATAGAGCCCCCTCCTCCGCTCAGCCCGACTGCCCTTCCCCATTCCAGGTCTGGCAGACTCATCACTTGTGAGTCTGCTCGCTGTGGCGGGTAACCCGTCCGCCTGGATAACGCTGCTGTATTTTTGGTGTGTCTGAAGCAGCCCCAGTGGCTGGCTGCAAACTCCCTGAAATGGGACGAGAGACAGTGTGTGTCCTGGGCAAATGCTGCAGGGCACTTGGTTGCACCTGATTGTGGGTTTGAATACATGAAAGGGGAGAGAGGGACGCAAGGGGTGTGAGCGAGGGCGAGAAAGGTGGCGAGAAGGACTTGGTGTTGCCTGTTGTAGGCGCACAATCGGCCCTTGGTTTTAGGAACGGATGTCATGCTGCTCGAAGACTTCACGTCTGATGACAACCCTCCCTCCCACACTTGCCCACCCAAGAGGAGGAGCTCAGTGACGTTCGAAGATGAAGTGGAACAAATCAAAGGTGGGTTTCTGTGACTGACGGCTTCAGGGAAACGGGGGAAGGGAAAGGATCTTAGGAAAGCTCCTTGGCCCAGCCTGCTCCCATCCCCAGCACACCAGGGCTCCCGCCTTTGCCCAGCCCCATGTCACTCCCTGCCTGCCAGTCTCACTTGAGTCCTTAGGCTTCCAACTCTCGGAGCAAGCAGCATCTAAGGCTGGGCAAGCAGTGGCCTACGTACACAGACACACACACACACACACACACACAGACACAGACACACACACACACACACACACACACACACACACAAAATTCCCATCTCCTCCCTCAGGAAGTTGCCCGACTGGATACAACAGTTTCTGAGCCCTCCGCGGTTTCTTTCCTTCATGGATGATGTGTGGTTACGAGTCTGCACCTGCCCTCTTTGAGCCTGGCTTCCTCCCGTGGAAAATGGAAGTCGTTGCCCAGTGAGTGCGCCGACTTCCCCGGAGGCAAAGGCCGCCATCTCGATTGGCCTGTTGCCTCTGAAGCTGATGGGGGCGCTGGGATCCTGTGAGAGGAATGAGTTCTGCTGTCATCCAGTCCCTACGTTTTTCTGCTCCAGTTGCTCTGAATTCAGCCCTCAGCGCTCTCGGTGCCTCTGGAACTTGGGGTCTAGTTTCCCATCCAGATATGCTGATTAGAAGAGCGACAAAGGAGCCATCCAGGCTGCCCACAGATGGAAGAATCTCTTTTTTTCTGAATCCCACCCGGTGGTGAGGACAGCCACCGACATGGCCGGATGTGGATGTGGTGGAAGAGTCCAGGGACTTTAAGATATAAATTCTTCAGAAATGCTGAGTACCAAAATAAATATGGGCCGGGGCAGAGTTTGAGGTTCATAATTTGTCCCATCTCTTCTACCACCCCCTCCCCGATTCCAGATGAATGGAGGGGTGGTCATGGGCGTCAAGGAGGCAGATATCAACTCGTCTGCTTTACGGGCAGAGTGGATGCAAGAACAGAGCTTCGATTAGCAGCTTCATGGGCTCTATAATATGTTACTCCCGTGTTAAAAAAAATGGATTGAAGCCCTCCGCAATCCACCCAGCCCGCATAGGGCCAAGCCTGCCCCATCCAGCCTACGTGTTGGGGGACGGCAGTTCCAAAGGCGCCTTCTCTGCACGCAGGGCAGGGAGCAGGCACGTGTGTAAGACCTTGTCAGTCCTCCCGGGAGTGAGTGGCAGGGCAGAGGTCCTCCCCTCTTTCCTTCCTGGAGAATGGGGTGGAAGTTGCCTACTCCAGACAACGTGAGGTGTAGGGGATACGCCGTTCCTCCCAAAATGTCAGGAGAGAAACAGGCAGTGAGGTTAATAGTCATAAGGCCATGGATGTGAAATTGAAGGGCCCTCTCCCTCCCTCCCTCCCTCCCTCCCTCCCTCTCTCTCTCCCTCTCTCCCTCTCTCCCTCTCTCCCTCTCTCCCTCCCTCCCTCCCTCCCTCCTTCCCTCCCTCCCTCCTTCCCTCCTGTGCACTTTAGGTGTCAGGAGTCCTAATCCTGGGGGAAGGGGCACCTGAAGCTTTAATGTCCTTCCAGTCCTGAGGTTCTCCATGGCTTTGGGGAATCTCTGAGCGAGGGTGGAGAGGACAGAGACCACATTCAGGTTTGTGGAAGTTTAGAGCCAAAGCTATTATACACTCCAGGGAGCTGAAAGACCAGAGAACTCTTTCAAAGATGTAAAAATTTGAATGTCATTAATAGAAAGTATTTATCAAGCCTTTTCTATGAGCCAGACCTAGGCTAAAGCACCTTAGGAAGAGCTGTCTAATTATCACGGGCACGGGAACCCCATGACGTAAGGGGTGTGCCAGGATCTTCTCTTTACAGATGAGGTAACCGACGTGAGATTAAACACTTCTAAGATTTCCCAGATGGTAAGTAGGGGAGTCAAGGATCGTCACCTTACGGACTGTGACTCCAGAACCCACACCCTTAACCTCAGTTTGCTTCCGCTCCCAGGGGCAGTGAAGCAAGGGCAGGCCTCTCCCGGGACAGCCACGGTCCTGGTCCCTCGCTAACCTTTGCTCTGCCTTCTCTCTCAGAGGCCGCCAAGAACCCTGTTCTTCACGTGAGAGCCGAAGTGCACAAGTCCTTGGACAGTTACGCAGCCAGCTTGGCCAAAGCCATAGAGGCTGAAGCCAAAGTCAACTTATTTGGGGAGGAGGCGCTGCCTGGGGTCTTGCTTGCCACGCGGACCGTCCCCGGGGTTGGCTTTGGGAGCCGCCGAGGCAGCAGGACTCTCGCGAGTCAGAGGCTGCAGCTGCAGAGCATCGAGGAGGGGAACGTTCTAGCCGCGGAGCAGACGTGAGGGTGGATGCCCTCAACACACCCTGGTGTGCAGCCATCAGAAAAAACACTGAACACAATGTCTGTAAGTGACTTCCGTGTCTCTGTGAGACCACACGTGGGCTTCCTTGAGGTCTCAGCGATGGGACCAGAGGCATCTAGAGTACAAAGCAGAGCCAACGGAGGTGTGGCTGAGACTTTGTGGGAGGTGGGCCGTAGAGGGGAACTAGAGACCACGGCTTAGAAGGAGCCCGCCGCGTGGGTCACTTCCTCCTCTGCACATCCTGTGCCCTGGGGGTCCAGACACGCACTGTCCCGGAGGCCTCAGGAGGCGAGCCCTTCCCAGGGCCCTTCGGAGGATGACGCTTCTTCTGGGTGGTTGATGTGGACCCTGCCGGGCCATCAGTTTTATACTAAATGGTCCCCAGAGGAGAGCCCAGGAGCCGAGCTCCCCAGATCCAGGTGCTGTGCCCTGGGGTCCTGGTTATGACCTTGCCTCTGGTGGCGCCACCTGCTGGTGCTAGTAGGGACAGCTCACGGGCCGCTGGGCGGACGCAACAGGCCTGGGGCTGCTGTGGCTGAGGACGGGGCCGCCTCCCTAGTGACTGAGTCTTTGCTATTTCATAAGAAGGGAGAAACCACTGTAAAAGACAGGAGGAAGGAGCAGATACCAGATGTTTCATTTCTAGAATTTAAAAAAACAAAAAAATCCATTTGGTTAGGATGAAACCACGATCTTAACTGAGCCTGAAAGGGCCATGGGGCCAAGCGCTGCTGGGAACTAGAGATACTGTTATCGTTGGAGGGAATCCCCTTCACATAGGAAGACCTCATGGAATAGACTCGGCTTGTGATGTTTGATGGACTGTTTCATTAGCTGGCCTCCAGGGAATACTCCTGTAGGCGGCGGCTACCGTTTCCCCGCCCTGAGCAGTGTAAGAGGAGACAGACTTGAAGAAACGCTGGACCTGGCGTCAGCAACCTGCGCGCAGGCCCGGCTCCGCCGTACCTTCCTCATGTCATTGGGACTCCCTGTCACCTCTAGGCCATCTGGAAAATAAGATAAGGGAGTGAGGAGTTGGATTGAATGGTGGCCGGGATCATTTCTAACTCTGATCTTTGATGTTCTCTGAATTTGTAAGTTAGAAAAAAAAAAAAAGTGACCCATGGACCAACATTTGCACAGCTTTGGAGTGTGGTTTCTAGTGAGCATGTGAAGCACTGCTGCAAGCCCGGGTACGTGGGCTGATCCGATGTGTCTAGAGCACAGTTCTGACAGGATGCCAGCCGGCAAGACACATAAATGGGGGCAGAGGCGGAAGTGGGCCACGCATTGTGGCTTGTATGTTAGATCTCTCTCCCTTGGAGTTGGGATGGCCGTTACATGTGTGGGCTTGGAGCGGTGGCTGTGGTGACGTGAACCACCTGTGCCTGCCCTTCAGCTTGGGCGATTAGGTCAGCCAAGTGCAGGCCTTTCCCCGCCTTCAGAATTCCGGGGGGTCAGCAGAGGGTACATTCTGAGGAGATCTACCTGCGTCTGCTATGAGGCAGCCATCCCAGAAAGGGAATCACGTTTGTGGCGTTCCATTGGGGTCTAGCTAGCTCTCAGTGAGGCAGTGTCTCTTTGCTGCGTGGCAGAGACCCAGTGGTTGGCTGGTCCCCTGGTCTGCAATTTACAGAAGACTTCCTGAGACCTGGGGGCTGCTACCTTCACGGTGATCAAACTCATCAGCAACTCCTGTGGGTCAGCCGGGTGCCAGCCACGGGTCTGCATTCTGGATGGGAGTGGGAAGGATCAGAAGGTGGTTTCACCCTTGGGTTCTGCCGATGAGATGTGCAGATCAGTCAGACTCTGCTGTCACTACTGGGTGGCATTCCGGAACCTGAGGGCATTTTATGTTTTCTGCATGTATTTTTTCCTAGCACTGGTCCTTGTCTAGTTTCTAAAGGGACCATACTTCTGAGCTTCTAGTACGCACCAAGGTGGAACAGGGCAGGGACCTTTACCTCTAGGTTGGAATAGCCCACGATGCCACCCCTCCCCCACCCCTTAGGGCATTTTGAGTGCCGCAAAGTGACTTGCAACCCAGGGGCTGGAGAGTGCTTCCCCTGGACTGTACTTAGCTGGGCTCTAGGGAGAGAGTCCTGAGACATCTCCCGGCCTCCAAGTCCTCACTGGCTGATCCCAAACTAGCTTAGATACACTAGGATTTAATCTAAGCCAATCTAGCAATACTGCACTTCCTGAAAGCATTCTGTGCGTTTCCTCTTTTCTACCGAGGTCCATTTATTTATTCATCTACCAGACACTGCACCTCCAGCGTGTGCAAGGCACCAAGCTAGGCTCTGTGAGTACTAACACTAAAGCGTGTTCACTCTAATATAGGGAGAGACCTGGGAGAGACTGAGGCTAATAAATTGCAAAGTCCATGAATGATTATAGAAAGAACTGTGGGCTCCAGAGGGAGGTGAATATTTCCGATTAGAAGGAGTTAGGGGTAGCACCATGTAGGAGGTGACTGTTTGAGCCAAGCCTTGGAGGATGTCTGGCAGCTGGAACCATATTTTCCATATTCATGAATTCAGATTTTCCTTGATTCAGCCTAAGCGAGAGAAAGGAGAGCAAAAGGAGGTGGATGGGGGAGAGGGCGAGGACATAATCCCCACATGCTCTGACGTTTCTGAGAGGATTTTTGAGGACCCCTGTCCTTAGTGCAGAACCCCAACTGCCCCCGCTGAACCCAGGCCCATTATAATGCTTTATTCTGCTGTGCAGTGGCAGCCTGAGGACTTCCTGAGGGGGCCACGTGGACAGTGGCAGGTGGGACACTTGGCCACTTGTTCACGTCAAAACCTCAGTCCTGCATCTTCTGGTTTTGACAGGACCACGTTTAGGACTGTTGCCCATCTCTGCTTCTTTCATAGAGATTGCCACTTGACCGGGTCCCCCCGAGTGCTATACCCCAGATACCAGGTTTGGGGGCTAGTGTGACCCAGAAGGCACTGGAGTCCCACGCCGCCGAGCACACAGCTCAATCCCTAGCCTTTTCCCAGGCCAGACGCACCGAGACTGGAGTTCAGGGCCTTCGACACTAGGTGGCAGCAGTGTGGCTGTGATGCCGCTGGCAGTTCCCCACCGGGAAGAGCTAAGGGTAAAGCTGAAGGCTCGTTTGCTTCTGGCTTCGAGCACCTACTCCGAGCTCCTGGTCTCCGCTGCAGTCCTCGGCCTTTAAAGGACCACCCAGCTAGCTTGCTTACAAGTGTGACCCCATTCGGGGTTGCAGGTACTGCCAGTGCTCAGCTGTGTGAGCTTAAGCAAATCACTGCTGTAGAAACGGGGTTGAGGAATGTTAAGACGAGGGCCATCTGGTGCTAATGTTCTTTGATTCTCATTTAAGGAGCTGCTGGGTAGTCTCTGAGTGAACGGCGAGACTAACTCAAGTGTTTGCAATAGGCCAAGGTAGTGTGGAGTGGACAGGAGAGGGAGGAAAAGCGCTTTGATACAGTGAGAGACTTTACTGGCCTGTTCAGATTTAACTAGATGAGTATTTTGTCTATCCTGATAGTGGGTCCCTGAAATACTTGCAGATTAGAGACAGGTCTGCGGATGGACCACGGGATATACTCACGACAAGGGTTCAGCCTTGAGCCCCAGCCGTCTCCCGTCTGGAAGGAACTGTGAAGGTGATGCAGCTACAAAAGGATGAGACAGGGAACTAGCACAGAGTAAGTGCCTACTGTGTGCCTGACCTGTTAAGACATGTTATGTGCTAGGCATTAGTTGGGCACTTCCAAATGCTTTATCTCACTGCAAATGATACAGTGGGGATAGTGCAGGCTTTGGTATGGGACGTTCTGGGTTCGGATTCCACGCTGCTGCTTCTGAGTAAGGTGTCCTTGGGCTAATTACTCAATCTTTCTGTATTGCAGTTTCCTCATCTATAAAATGAACTTTGTATTCTGTTTCTATGTGGGGACACAGACTCCAGGGGGCCCTCTGATTATGTGGATTAGAGCATCCAGCACAGTGCCTGGGGCATAGCGGATGCTGAACCCCTGCTGTTTCTTCTCCACTCTGCAGGTGGGTGTATTATTCTCGTTTTACAGGGCTCTGGTGATAAGAAGTGAGAATCTTAAAAAGATAACCCGTTATCCTAGATAAGAGGTGTTGAAGGTTGTTGCCGTAGGAATCGTCACGTCTGCCGTACAGCATGAAGGGATGTGGTGAGAAAGGAGAAGACGATAGAGAGGAGGGGGTAAAGGCTAAGTGGCACTTGGGATTCAGGAGATCTGAAGGGGCGAAACTGAGCTTTTCTGTTACTGGCTATCGAAGATGGTAGAGCCCCAGGCTGCTGTGACATCTGGAATCAAAGCACAAGCTCAGCTTTGAGCTCCCTTACAGCCCAGAAGGGATGCTCTCCCTGAGATGTGACCTGGAGTCTCAGGGCAGCCCCATCCTGCAGTGACAGTGACTGCTTGGCCTTGGCTTTGGGGTTCAGATTCTCTGAGTCTCCGAGCCCCTGAGGGAAGAGGCAGCGCAGGGGCAGGAGTCCATGCTGCCACCCACAGTGTACACAGAACCCCAGGTGAATTCCGTGGGAGAGTGAAGGGAAATCACATTTTTCACCCTGAAGCAAAGGAAAACGGCTGTGAGCACAGTCGTATGTGACTACAGGAGGGGGCAGAGCCGGACCGTCCTTCTGGGTTGGGGAGGGGCACACACAGAATCCAAGGAGGCCTAGGGAGGTGAAGGGAGTTGTCCGAGGTCTCAAAGGAGATTAAGCCAGGGTGGGGGCTGAAACGCCAGGTCTTGGCCATGTGACTGAGAGAAGGAAAGAGCCAGCTTTGCAGCTCGAGGAGGATGACGGATAGTTAACAGTCATCATTATTAGAAGGCCAGTAGGGCTTTACTGGGTAGGTAGGACCATTGTAAAGCAAGGAGTTTGGGAGACTGGAATATCTGCTTGCCAGACCTATAAAAAACTGCAGGCCTAAGGTGGCTGGATTCACTGGAAAGAATTCAAAGCACAAACTCAAATCTGCATAAGATTACCAAGAGCACAGTTCTGCTCACTGTTATTTTTAGGAGAACAAAGTACGCAAAGCTGTGTTCATTTCCCTCAGAAAGCATTTTCCTGAGCAGTATTAACAGCTTAAGAATTAAAAGCCACTTCTGTTTTTCCTTTTTTTTTTTTTTTTTTTTTTGCGGTACGCGGGCCTCTCACTGCTGTGGCCTCTCCCGCTGTGGAGCACAGGCTCCGGACGCGCAGGCTCAGCGGCCATGGCTCACGGGCCCAGCCGCTCTGCGGCACATGGGATCTTCCCGGACGGGCACGAACCCATGTCCTCTGCATCGGCAGGCGGACTCTCAACCACTGCGCCACCAGGAAAGCCCTGTTTTTCCTTTTGACACCACCATCTTGAAGTATCACTAATCATTGGTGAGTCTGACCCTCCCAAAGGAAAAGACAGTCCTAGGGAGGATCACAGGCCCGGGCCGGCGGCCAGGGGAAAGAGCCTGTCTGGCTGGAAATAGGTCTGTCAGTGACGTGGACATGCTTAAGGGACAGAGCCCTATGCTGTGTTCTGATAAGGGACCCCTGGATGCAAAGGTGGTTCAAAACCAACCTTCAAGATAAAGACCAGCTGATCCTAAAATATAGTTCACTTGAAGTTTTTGGACGCTTATTTTTAAGATTAAAAAATGCTTAGGATTATTATAAACCAATATTTATCAAAAAGTAAGAGTGTACTTAGAATAGTTTTGTTTACCTGATTAAATATCTGGGTTTTGGTCTGTGTAGGGCTGTGCAAATTGTGAACTTGTGCTTGAGTTTGTGGACTTTTTCGGGTGTCTCCCCCTTTACCCCCACCCCTGTTTTCCACAGACTTGTCTCTGTCTCCAGCCTCCCTTCCCGTGGGCTAAAGAGAGGAAGGAGACTGAGCAGGAAGGGGCCAACTGTTGCACAGTCCATACCACAGTCGCCTGGGTACATCCATCCATGTGTTTTTCATGAATTCCCGCAAGAAAATTAGCTTCGTGGAATATCGTTAAGTGGCGTGGAAGTGACCAAGAAAGAGACAACAAACAAACACTGTTAACTCAGAGTTCTAAAGGAGGTTTAATGAATAGCAGTGCGGTCTCTCGATATGTCCATCCCATAACCGAAGTCAAAGGGCGGGTGGTAGATTATCAGAGACTTGGAACAGCCTCAAGGCACAGAGCCCACCACCTCTGTCTGACCCAACATCTGCCACCACTAAAGCCGCATTCCTTTTCTAAGTGGGTAAGTGAGCCCTGGGGTCCGCTGTCTCCCCTGCAACAAACACTGGACCATGGAAGCGGCCAGGACTCGTGAACTCTGCCTCTGTAGAATGTCTTCTCTCCTAGCTGCCTCCTTGACTGCTTGTCTGGCCTGCCCTGCTCCTTCATAACATATAACACCAAAACTACAAAATCGCTAAAGGCAGGGCGCCTGATTCCTTGGACAAATACCACTTTGTAATGTTTGGGTTTTTTTTAAAAAAAAAAAGCAGTTTTAGAGCAGTTTTAGGTTCCCAGCAAAACTGAGCAAAAAGTTCAGAATCCCCCCACTCCCACCTGCTCAGCCTCCTCCACTATCGACATCCTGCGCCAGAGTGAACAAACGCCATTGATTTTCTCCTCTTGCTCTTCCTGCCAGAGTCACCCTTGACCCCACTGAGTACTGCAGTCTGGGCTGTCGGTTTTCCAGCACTTCTCTATAGCATAATCCCTCTGTAGTGTCATATTATGCGCCGCAGTAGTCTTTTCAGTTATTCTGTAAACCCTTCAACCTCTCGTGGGGTCCTAACACAGCCCCTGGGACATAGGTGGTGCAAATATGACACTCTATCTGAGGGAGGAGGAAACAGAAGCCCAAAGAAGTCACATGGCTTGAGCAGATCACATAACTATTTGGGTACCAGAAACTGAGACCTGGCACTTTTTGGAAATCATGCCTTTGCCCTGTTTGGCTAAACTTCTAACTCACTCCTTTCTTTCCCTTTGACCATTCAGCGTATTCCTAATATGGAGACATAGGCGTCCTGCCCAGGCTAAGAGCTAGATGTTGAAGTCCACCTGAAGTTACCGAGCCAACTAGAGTTATTTTTCCTCTCTCCAGAAAGCCAATCTGTCTTCTCTCAGCATCAGGTGTCCTTGGGCTTGCAGCCACGTTCCGGGGAGGAGCCATCCCTGGTCTCCACACGGGAGAAGGATGCTTTGCCTGGCCACACCTGTGAGTCTGTTCATGGCCCAATGAGAGTGGGCATGACAGTTTAGGAGACAGGAGAGAGGATGGCTGAAGGGTTAAGTCTGCAGGTGCAGCTTCAAGTCGTAACCTGTAAGACACAGACCTGGGTGTGGATGGCTTAAGTCGAGTGAAGGTGGACACCAGAGAGGAGGAAGACCAGGAATTAGAAGACTGGATGGTCAGCACTTTCAGTTGAAACCTAGAAGTTGGAGAAAGGAAGGCTAGAAGCCAGAGCTCTCAGAACTGGCTTGTGCTAATATGGTGTGTGAGTATCCATGATGCTCTGGGATTGCTCATAGCCTGACCCCTGAACTCAGGTAATGAGGGACCACTGATCGTGAGAGATGATGATTGGGGGTGGAGATAAAGTACTTTGAAAGGAGAAATGAAAAAAAGCTCTTCTGTGTGATTCTGTCACACAGAAGTCAAAACTGAAAAGGTTATTTAATCTAGAAAAGAACAGAGAAAGACAATCTTAGGTTACAAGAAAAGATTTGGAAAACGTGGGTCAAGGTATCAAGGCATTAAATAGTCAAAGTCAGGATATCTTAAAACAACCAACTTCTTTAATTAGAAAGCAACAAACATGCAAATGGCAAGTGTAGAAATTTATTTGAACCAACATTTTCACTATAATGAAAATTACTCTTCAACAATGATCCAAGCTCCCACATTTGAAGGTTAGGGAAAATATTGCACTTTGCATTTTCTAGCACTCCTCATACATGGCAAAAAGTTTTTAAAACATTTCGCTAGTTTTGTTTTACACACACTCCCAAATTCATGCACACAATCATTCCAAACCAATGTTAGGTCATCCCCCCAAAAGGGAAAAACTCCAAAAAACCACAACCTTAAAATTGCACTGAAGCTCTGTAAAGAAAAAAATATAAATGTCTTATACAAATTTCCGAACATCTAAGTGCTTGCCAATAAGAGCTGATTATTCCTCATCCTCATTTTCATTCTCCTGACCGGAGCCTTCTGATCTGTCACTCTCCAACCGGTCTGGAAGACACAGATATGAGACAAAACGAAATACCTTTATTATTACAATTAAAATAAGTTTCAATGCCTTTTATTCAAAACTGATTAAAATGTATATAATTCAGCACATCATCATGTAAAAATCAGTTCACAGCTGTGTGTAGAAAAGTTATTTTTGCCTCTGGAGACAAAGAGTAAAGGAAACACAGCACTCTCAACTTTGAATATTCATGTAATTCCAAAGATATAAAAAGTACAAAGAAAAAACCCTAAAGATCTTGATCTACTGTGGTCTACTGCAATGATTTCAAACTGTGCTCCTGGGAGCCTGGGAGCCCTAGGAGGTGTATCAGGTGTCACCAAGGGGAGTGAGAGGCAAGCTGTGCGAGAGAATTTGGTGATCGTTCTTGAGGATCTGTGTATTTGTTTATAAAAACATTTCTTAAATATCTGCTATGTTCCAGGATACAATGGTGACCAAAACAGTCACAGTCTCTGTCATCAAGGAGCTTATCTAGACTGAACACTCAAGGGAGTGTACAATTACAGCCCGGCGAGTGAGCACGGCACGTCCTCTCAAGTTCCATGATTTACACTTGCTGTTCCTCTGCTTGGGACACCTTCACCCAGTTCTTCAGCTGTAATGGTTCTGCTTACTCATCTCGATACGACTATTATTCCCTGTGTGAAACTTCCCCCAGACTTTTTCAAATACCCAACCTGCAGAATTATGAACTCCTTCCTTCACACTCCAGAATATTCTGTGTGTATCGTGTAATAATTACAGTAATAGCTTGTTTGCCTGTCTTCTTACAGACTAGACTGTGAGCTCCTGGGAAGGTGGTAGTTATTTCTTTTATGTCCTAAGGGTCTAGTACGAGAGGTTCAATGAAGGTTTATCAAATAAATGAACGTCAGTTTTACTAAGATAAGATATATTACGTTAGGGTATGTAAAGAAGGCAACAGTACCGAATCACTACCACCACTAGCATGGAACCCTTTCTATCACAGAAAGATTTCTCCAGGGTAAGCTGGGGGAAAAAAGGCTTAGACACGGGGAAACAGTTCCGTCCCACTGTCAACACCCAGAGAAAACGGAATCCTGAGATTTTATTATCTACAGAGGCTTAAACACTCCCATTGGATTCTAAGTCAACAACACCAGTATACAGAAGGGATTGTATGTTTAATTGTCCAAGTGAATTAGATTAAATCCCCTCTACACCAACTCCATTTCAATGTCAAACTAATGAGATAATGTATGTGTGTATGATTTGTAACCTGAATTATACAAATTTCAGCTGTTATTATATAATAAGTGTTCAATACACATTTGTAAAATAAATGAACAAAATAAGATGATGACAGACCTTCACAGGTCACTAAGGAATCTAAACACAGTGGAAGACTTTCTGATCAATAAAAGGCTACCTAAGGGATGTTAGTATAAAAGAGATTACACTCTTTATTGGATGATATACTTTCATGAGAGGAAAAAACATGAAGTTGCTATTCTGCTTAACCATAGTATCGTGAATAGGATACAACAACTGAGTACATTCAACAAACCTATTCTGTCATATTACTGGAGACTGAGGAAGCACTATCAGCCTATTTCAGAATGTGTAGGGTGGCCCAAATTCTTTCTGGTTGTCACACTTACGAATGAAGAGGGGGAAATGGAGGGGAAGGAGGAAATGTCACAGCCTTCAAATCAAGCAGTTTACAGCAGACATTAGAATTCTGCAGAGTCCAAAGCAAGTGACAAGAAGGCGAGGGAGGGCCCATGGAGTCTCATACGGGTCACACGGTAACTGACAGTGGCTTGTGGAATGAGGAAGAGGGCAGAACAGCTGTCCGTTTCTCAAATCCTTCTCACGTAACTGCTGCCGAGTCATGTCTCAGAATAGAAACCCAATTTCTAAGAATAAATTAAATGAAATCTTTTTGTCCACAAAGTGCTACTGAGGTAGGAAAACTGATAAGCAGTTCCACACTTTCACAAATCTCTGGCTGGTAATTACAGACCACGGAGATCTGAGAACACTGTGTTCTTTTAAATGAAAACTAGAAATAATCACTTCTGTATCCACTGTTTTCAAAAGTTGACAACACCAAACTGCTCCTGTAGGTAAGGTTTACATTTGTGGAAAGGTTCCTGTAATTCTCTGTTAGAAATATTTCTTCAAGAAATTATTTTTGATCGGAAAAGATAAGATCATGAAGAGATATTAAGTTTGCTGGGGGTGTGGGGAGGGGACAAGGGAGATATGAAAAAAATACCCCAAGGAAACCTGTGTTCCAACAAAACAGAGTCAATACAAGACTCATCGTTAGCTGAAGATTTGATACTAGAAGTTCATTCATTTGTTCACCCATTCATTCACGAAACACTATTATATGCTAGGCACTGTTCTAGAAGCTAGCTATCCAGCTCTGAATAAGACAAACTAGGTCTCTGGTCTTAATGAGCTCACTTTCTAGAGGAGAAAAACAGAAAATAAGAAAGGTATTTTTCTCCTTTAATCTGTGTAGCAAGACAAAAATAAAGAAATGAAGTTAGAATAAGTACTTGATGAAATAGGCAATGACCAGAGAGTGACTGAATGAGAAGGAGGGTGTGAGAAGGCACATGAAACAACTTCACACTGGGCGACTAGGGAAGACTTTTCTAAGGAGGTAACACTGGAGCTGAGACCTCAATTGTATGTTCAATTATTAGTGAAGTTGGACGAAGTTGCCTAAAAGGCAGAGGGAACAGCCAGTGAAAAGGTCCTAAATATGCTAACAAGCTTGATGAATCTGAGGAGGAAAGTAGCCATTTATGGCTGAAATGTAGTGGGCGAGGAGAAAACTGGAATGTGTCGACTCAGTGGCTGGCAGGTCTAGGTCATGTAGATCAGCGTATGAAGTCTGGGTTTTAAAAGCAGCTGGGGAGTCCCTGAGAATTTTAAGCAAGGGTGACATAACCTAATGTATATTTTTAAAAAATGGGTCAGCAAACTATGGCCCCTGTGCAAATCCTCCCACAGCCTATTTCTGTAAATAAAGTTTCATTAAAGTAGAGCCATGCCCTTGATCTACATATTATCTATGGCTGCTTTTGCACCACAATGTCAGAAATGAGTAGCTGCAACAGAAACCACATAGCCCACAAAGCCTATTTACTGTCTGGCCGTTTAAAGAAAAAGTTTACTGACCCACGTTTTAGTTTTATTTTTGGCTGTGTTGGGTCTTCGTTGCTGTGTGCGGGCTTTCTCTAGTTGCGGTGAGTGGGTTTCTCATTGCGGTGGCTGCTTCTTGTTGCGGAGCACGGGCTCGAGGATTGCGGGCTTCGGTAGCTGCAGCATGTGGGCTCAGCAGTTGCAGCCCCTGGGCTCTAGGGCGTGTGGGCTTCAGTAGTTGTGGCTTGCGGGCTCTAGAGCGCAGGCTTAGTAGTTGTGGCGCACAGGCTTAGTTGCTCCGCGGCACGTGGGATCTTCCTGGACCAGGGACCGAACCCGTGTCCCCTGCACTGGCAGGCAGATTCTTAACCACTGCGCCACCAGGGAAGTCCCTGACCCATGTTTTAAAAAGCTCCCTCTGTGCTGTGGAAATCAGATTGTATGAAGGCGAGAGCAGAAGCAGGGAGACCAAGGTAGATGAATATGGATTCTATTCTGGAGTAAAGCTACCATAATTGATGGAGTGAATCTGTGTATGACTGCGTAAGTGCCTGTGAGCTCAATATGATGTTACGCTCTATAGATCCATCGTGGAGAACACTGTGGCGAGCTAGATGTACGTGTGCCAAGGTCCAGAGGTATGAAGGGATGCTTCAGGGTTTTATAAACCATATTAACATATTTGGACTCTATCCTAAGAGCATGAGGAGGCCCAGGAGAATTTTAAGGAGGGGAGTAAATTGCTCAGATTCTAACATATTTTAGAAAAGATTAGAATGGTTCACACACCATCTCTCCAAAGCCTGTCAAAACTTCTAGGAATCTCAGAACTGCCTTTCTCTCTCAAGAAGTTGCCTAGACTAAAAGTCTTTAGTACAGCATTCATGAGAATAATTTTGGTTGCTTTTTTAAAATGCAGGAGCTCAAACCCTCTTCAGACGAAGTGAATGAGAATCTTTCATGGATAGGAACCAGGTATTTGTAGTTTTAAAAGGGGGATTTAAAGTGCACACTTCATTAAAAATCACAGCTTAAGCAGGAAGGAGCTGATTTCCCAGGAAGCCTTGTGGAGTAATGGAAAGGCTGAAATATTCTGTGGCTAGATTGTGCTTCCATGATCAAAGTCTATTACTAACTCTCCTTGAATACGCAGACATTACTGTACTTGGAATACAGGACAATGAAGGGAAGGAGAGGAAAGGAGTAGTTGACTCATCAAATAACTAGACATCTTAAGGATAAAAGCAGCAGAAATACAAACTCTTGGGTACCTTTTTCTAACTAGTCTTTTACCTAAGAGAAACAAGAGGGTGAGTTAAGTTGACTAAACCTTGACTGCTGACAAAAAGAAATAGAAGAAAGGGAACCTTTATATTATAAAACATCTAATTCTAAAATCAAAGAAGGATGGTAATAACTATTAGTTAACAAACCATTGACACATTAGCACCTATTTAAAATAGATTCTTGGACTTCCCTGGTGGCGCAGTGATTACGAATCCACCTGCCAATGCAGGGGACACGGCTTCGAGCCCTGGTCCGGGAAGATCCCACATGCCGAGGAGCAACTAAGCCCGTGCGCCACATCTACTGAGCCTGCACTCTATAAAGTCTACAAGCCACAACTACTGAGGCTGCATGCTGCAACTACTGAAGCCCACACACCTAGAGCTCGTGCTCCGCAACAAAGAGAAGCCACCGCAATGAGAAGCCCGCACACTGCAATGAAGACCCAATGCAGCCAAAAATAAATAAATTTATTAGAAAAAAATAAAATAGATTCTTGCACAAATGAAAGGAGAATTAGTTTCCTGTAGGAAAACTCAGGAAGAACCATTCACCAGATGAACTCTTCATAAGAACAAGTAAATTTTAGTTGTCATAATCAGCAAATGTTTTTCTTGTTCTATAAAATGCTGCCTCCTCAAATCTGAAATCCAAGTGAATTTTAAAGGTTACTGATTGTTACTGAAGAAAACAGATCAAAAGATGTTACAGTGGCTAGAAGTACTACAATAATATTTTGTTGGACTACAAACATTTTCTGTTTACATTTTAGGTTTATTTTTTGTTTTGACTATTTGAAATTTTCACTCTCTCCTGGTAATAGTTAATATTTACAATTTGAGGGTTATTTTCTCTCCAGCTCTTTTAATTACAGACATAAGGGGCTTCTTTCAATGCTTCAGAGGTACTACAGTCTCTCTCCTCCAGGACTTAGACAAATGCTACATACTCTTTAATTTGCCTGGAATACTTAGCTCTCCCTTCCCCACCCTCTGAGAAAGTGATATATAATCTACGGCTTATATAGACCTGAAGGTCTGAAATGGAAGTTTTCCTAATAAAGAGTGAGGATGGGAGGGGACATCATGATTAGAAAGACCTCTGAAGTGGGAAAGAGTTTGATGTACCCCAAAATTCAGAGAGGGCCAGAGTGGATGGAGTGGATAGAGAAGGAAAGAATGCACTAGAAAAGCAGTTTGAGATCAGGTCCTCCAGAGGACTGCGTGTCTTATTCATGACTTGAATGTGTTCCCGAAAGTGAAATTTGTAGGTAAAAGGGGAGTAAGTGCTTGGAAGCTAGTTTCAAATTCAGGCTTTACCATTTATCAGTTATGTGACCTGGGGTCACATAATAATCTACTTTGTAAAGGGTTGGAGCTAACTGAGGATAAATTTGTGAAATGACTGGTATATTGCCTGATACATTACAGGTATTCCATAAATGGTGGTGGTTGTTTTTATTAAATAATACCCAACATATGAAGATATTTGTGATATCAGTGAAGAGTGATAAACACTTTGTTTATAATGGATACTGGATATTTTCTACTGTTATGAACACAGGTTATTCCATTCCTTCTTGAATATTAGTTATAATATACACAATTTTGTATCTGTGGCAATGAACCTCACAGTTTATCATCTAAAACAAAAAAAATACTGAAAAAAACATACTGAGCTATCTGTTTCAACCTCTGTAGTAACAAGTTACATTTATTTTTGTCTGGGCTGTGACTGATTTTGACCAAACCTACCATTAAAGGGTACTTACTATAACGTATCTTAAGGTTTATGGTATGATCTTCCACTCTGAGAAGAAAAGCACAGCTGATAAAATTTTCAAATGACTTCATCTTTTCACTTTGACACTTTTCAATAAAGTTGGCTCATGGGGATATAAATTACTGTACTAAGATAAAGAATTCATAGAACTCCTCGTTCAAAAGTTAAGCTGCCTTCCATGCACCTGTTCCCTCTGAGAGGACTTAATGTCAGCAAGAAATAAACTTCTCTTGTGTTTAAAAAAAAAAGTTAAGCTGCCTTGATTTTGTAATTTAAGGAAATTTTTACTTTACTTTTACTTTACTTTTTACTTCACTTCACTTCACTTTATTGGCTGTGCCTCATGGCACACGGGATCTTAGTTCCCCAACCAATCGAACCCATGCCCCCTGCAGTGGAAGCTCGGAGTCCTAACCAACGGACCACCAGGGAAGTCCTCCTTTTTTTAAAAAATAAATCCCTTTAAAGTAGATCTTAAATAATAATGTTTTTCAAATATAATAATGATTTTAATAGTACACTGACAGTTCTTACCAGCTCGAATATGATTCAGTGAAGCCAACATCCTCAACATGAAAGAGGCTGGAACTGTAATGGTATTTCTAGTCTCTTCCAGCATGAGTTCATTTCGAGTTATAACCTATGAGGCAAGTTAAATAACCATGTCAAAGATCACAGGGTAACTGTACCTTTTCCTTAGAGATTAGGAGAACAGTAAAAAATTAGCAGGAATTATTTCATTCTTCATATGTATCTATATATGTCTATATTTCCACCTTAAGGCTATTCAGTACCAAATAATTACTTTAACTTGCATTCGACAGAGTAAGATCAGAGAACACTACTCTTTCAACTGGCAGAAAGACAAAGGTCAAACCTTGAGGCTACTTAAAACATTCAAGAATTCAATTTACTTTTACTTATAATTTGTTTTCCAGAGCAGTCTACTTTGTGTCTGTTTATTATTTTCCCATCTAGTAGAACTGATACTTCTAGTGACAGAGCAGTGTTAAATTATTATCCCTGGGTCACTTGGGTCCCTCAAGAAAAATGTTACCTTGACTGAAGCAAAGTAATCTTGAAAACTAAACCTTTGGATAAGAGTTACCAATGAATTTTGTCTTAAGTACCAAGAATTGGACTAAATGAACATCCATGAACACCTAGGGAGCTAATGTATAATCACAGGCAAAGGAAAAAAGAGGAAAAGCAAAGGTCATGGCAAAGGAAAAATAGGAAGAAAGAAAGGAAAGCATGAGAGGAAGAAAAAGATGCTAACCTGATTAGCAGTCCCCCAATGATATTACAATACTTTTTCAACTCATCGGGGTGCCCGACAGGGCCCTTAACAACCAAGCCCCAACCTAGCTTTTTAGTCCAACTGAGCTGCTTTCATATGTGTCCTCTAGGTGTCAGCACACTGGTGGTTCAACTTGAAGCACACTGATCCTTCTGTCTCAAATGTTCCTTTGATCCTTGTATGCCTAGGAAACTCAGTCCAATTCTTATTTCCTCTGTGAAGACCTTCCCATCCCATCTATTCCATTTGCAAGCATGGCTGTTCCTTTCTACGGGCTTCCAAAACGCTATGTGTACATCTCTGACACTGAGCACACTATATTCTAGCTGTTTATATGTCTGTTTTTTCCACTAGTCTTTAAGTTCTGAAGGAGGGGGTTATCTTTTTCAATTCAGCACTGTGCCTGACATACACCAAGTGTTTTATATATGTCTATTAAATGAGTAAAAGTATACGTGGGAATTTCACTGTGAACTGTCAACCTTGGTCTAGAGAACTAGTTTTCCAACTCATTAATATTTTTAGCAATGAACTCTTATTTTATTGTTTTAAGAGGGGGTAGTATCAACCTTAGTTGCAATCCCCTCCTCACAGAAGTTCAACAATTAGTTAGTAGCTGATTAATGCAATGGATCCTTATTTTCATAAGAAATCTTATACGGAAACCCAAAAATGAAAACCCTCGTTGCAGTTGGGAAGGAAATGCCCAGAGTTTAGCTTTCATATCATCCATCTTCCTGCTTCCAATTCTGTAAAAAACCTAGAGCTTCAGAGAACTCAGTTTGAAAACTAGTGATGTAACAGTAGCTTCAGAAGCTGAGGAAATCTTAAAATATAATCGTAAAGGAAAAGAGTCTCCAATCGTTTGTTCTGCTACCTATTTGGCTATGATTATGGAGAACAGCTATAGCAAAACTATTTTCTTAAAAGGACACAGTGTTTTTTTTTTTAATGATTCTTCATTGCAATAAGCACAAATAGTCACCCTATGTTTCTTCAACTACAATATACTATATCTGTTACTACCAATAATCAATATTCTACTTATCCAAATAATATTCCAATTTTTACCTCTCTAGTATTGTGGGCATGTTTTATTCTTGACTTTTCTTTTTCTTAAAATTTGACCTCATTAAATGAATTAACTTGTTTTATGTTACCAGCGAATAACAAAATGAGCTGCTTTGATTCTTCTTCAAACAGCAGTTCAGGAACAGAGTGACATACGTTTTATAATAAGTATAATAAAAATCTTACTTCATCGGCGAGTTTTCGGTTAAAAATCCTTGACTCTTCTAGGGGTGACCAGATCTTTATGTCATAATCTATGCCAGACGAGGCTAGAACTAGAAATAAAATGCTCACATTAATATAAAGCTTAGAAATATGCCACTAATTCATGTACATTTATAATGTATACATGCATGTATGTATATGTTCAGCAAAATTGAGTTAGAATGGAAATTGTACTGATACATTTAGTTGTTAACTGAGAATATTATTTTGAAGATTTCCTAAAAGTTACTCTAGAACACAATTTTAAGACCATCTTGAAATCACTCAAATTTTTTTCTTACTTACTGCTCTTTTATGAGAAACATGGGCAATTTCAAATGGAAGGCAAGAACAAGCCAATGCTCCTTTGTTCTGGTAAATTAATTCAGACATGTGAAGACTAAAAGGCTTGGAGGTTCAATTTGGTTAAGTAGTGAAAAGTTCAATCAGCCAAACCTCTTACAGCTGATAAAACTTAGAAGCACTCTTAGGAGTATAAACTCGTTAACCTATTTCCCCATATTTTCTGCCCAAAGCAGGTTATAAGTGTTTTTTGTTTTAAACCCCAAATAGTAATACTTGACCCTAGTGGCTGCCTACTAGGATAATTTGGATTATTTTTATATTAACAACTAGGAAAAAGTTGAAGCTGATTAATTATACTAATGATTTCTAGCCCTTGCCTTATAAAAGGTCATCTTACTTGGGTCAAACGGGTGTGGCTGCAGGCAGTTTACCACGTGATTATCAGCTTCCAGAAGCATTAAATGCTCAGCAGTGTGACGATCCCAGATGAAGATATGGCCACAGTCAGAACCACTCATTACAAAGTTAGCACCCCAGAAATTGGCTTCTTTTATCTAAGGGTTAAAAAAAAGGAAATGATAAGAGAATTCAAATCAAAGTTATTAAAAAAGATTTATTCTATTCTCAAGTTAAAACAGTTAATTGGCTCAGAAAATAAAAAATTGAAGAGAGCCTTTATCTTCTAGTATATTGAAATCATGATAGAGATTTATCAGCAGGGATAAAGTGGCAGTAAGTAATGAAAAGTCTCCCATGAAGATAGGGATTTGCTTTGTTCAATGCTATATTTATAGTGCCTGAAACAGTACTTGGCACACAGTAGGTGCTGAGTTAATAACTGCTAAATGAATGAATGGGATTTCTGCGTTTTGAACAGTATAATGGAAACATATATATATGTTATTGAACTTTCCAAAAACGGTTCCATTTTCGATTTTACAAGATAATAAAAACAATTCATAGAAAAAAATGAATTGTTCCCTCCTGTATCTTGCTTTATGCCAAAAGAACAAAAAGCACCAATCTTTTTATTAGCTATTAGAAGCTCTCACAATCAAGAAGGAAAGATATAAATACATATTTACTTTTATGAAGCAATGAGACAAAGGATATGTTAGAATGGTTATGATGGAATTTTTCAGCAGATGCACATGAATGAACCATCAAAAATCTTTCTTTGTACTTCATATCAGAATTTTTGAAATCATTTTAAGTGCAGCTGCTACTTTGCTATTTTTGGCAAAGCAAAGGAGGGGAGGAATTTTTTTGTTACTTGGAATACTTTTATATTTACTTGTCTTCTTTTTTTTTCCATTCCTGTCCCTAATTATTTTCATTCAAAATTTTAACCAGCAAAATGCAAGAAATATAAATTGGTTACTTCTATCAATAATGAGTATGCTTTCCAGAATGATTAAATTATTACTACCAATGATATCTATAGAGACAGCTAATTGTTTCCCCATCCCAAAGTTACTTTTTGCCTTGACTCTAAAGAAAGCAGATTAAAACCGATTCTGTAGATACTTTTTGATAACTCAATGAATATATGAGAACACTTTCTAGATATAAATGGTTCGGAGTAACAGTTATGTTAATCATCTCACAAGATTCTCTTAGTAAACAGTTAATATTGCATTGCGTATATAGACTTCTGGGTTATAAAAACTTGAAAAGATCTTAGAGATCATCTGGTCTATTCTTATTTCATAGATGAGGAAATTACAGTCTAGAAAGACAAGGTGACTAAAACAAATCTTTACTTGTCAATCTTTAAAAGAGTTATCATTAATATGACTATATTTTGCAAGGAACCTGGATTTCATGTATCCAAATCTTTCTCTCCAAAACCAACAAAGGGCACTAATATGAACTAAAAAAATCTACTAGGAAAGTAGACAACAAGTGTGAGAGAGCAAAAAAGAAGCAGTGGGGACTTCCCTGGTGGCGCAGTGGTTGAGAGTCCGCCTGCCGATGCAGGGGACACGGGTTCGTGCCCTGGTCCGGGAAGATCCCACATGCCGTGGAGCGGCTGGGCCCGTGAGCCATGGCCGCTGAGCCTGCGTATCCGGAGCCTGTGCTCCACAACGGGAGAGGCCACAACAGTGAGAGGCCCGCGAACCGCAAAAAAAAAGAAGCAATGGTTACTTGTACAAGCTAAAATTTTTAAAATTCTACAATAGTTCCTCAGTAGGGTAGAGTTTTCTTACAAAAAATGATGGTCTTTCACAATATATTATAGGACGAAAAGAACTATGTTTGGGTAAAGAGGTAACTGTGAAGGTGCAATAATATATTGGAATCACACTAGCATATATGAAAATAATCATTATGGAAAAAAATTCATATTACAAAATTGCAGTTCTTCCAAATAATGTCATGAGTATATGGTACCATTGTCCTGGAGTTGCGATGGCCCTTATAAACCATCTTTACTAGTGGCCTTCGAATGTTCAAGGTATCCAATTCCTCCATTTCTTTTCTTTCTTTTCTCCGTCTGAAGAACTCCTGAATTCGGGCAACAGCAGAGCGTCTATAAATTACATATTAGAAGAAAAAACAGAAATAAGTAAAAAACATTCACAGGCCACTACAGAATGAAAATGAGCAACATTAAAATACAGTAAAGTCTAGAAAACATTTAAACTAAACATTATGTCAATAAGGCATCCCCAACCAAAAGCATAAAGAGGCAGACACAACAGTGAGACTACATCAGACTAGTTGAGTTACTAAAACAAAATGTTTTAGTTAAGAGATCACTTAGAAATTTGGTACTGGTTGAGAGAGTAAAGGAAGTAGCATGCGGCACACTTTTTAAATGGCTGTTTTATAAAAACATAATACAGACAAAATTAATATGCAATTTACTACAAATAAAACAAAATCTATTCAATATTATTTGTCCTCTCCATATTAGGAAATGTAAAGGCATAAAGAGAAACCAGAAGAAGAAACTAAGGTTAACATATAATTTCAGTGGATAAACTTATGTTTTGAGATTTTGTTTAAAGATATTTGTTCTCAGCAAAGAACAGACTAGTCAAGAAAAACAATATTAATATACATGAATAAAACAAGGACCTTCAAATAGAATCTATTCTATATGAACTCCATATTAGAGTACAGATTTGGAGCTAATGAGGCTGATTTTACTCTCCTAAGAACTGAGTTGGCCACAAAACTAGAGAATAAAGAACAATGGACTCTTTAAGACTGATTTAATTATTAGAAGGAACTTTTCCTAACACATGTTAATGAATAACTTTGTTAGTTTGAACTTCTTATTTAAAACATTATATTTTGCCATATAATAGACCAAAAATCCAAAATATATAAAGTGTCTACAAATCAGTATGAAAAATGAACACTATAATAGAAAAAGAGTAAAGAACATGAATAGGGAAATTATAGAAGAAAGAGACTTAATAAATATACAAAAGGATGCCCAGCCTCACTAATATTAAGATAAAAATAAAAACAAATTGATCTTTTTGTATGTCTATCAGATTAAAAATTTTTTTACATCTATCAGAGTGGCAAGAATACAGGAAAATAGGCACTACTGGTAGGAGTTTGAAAGTTTTATATATAAAAAAGTGCACTCTTCTGTTGTAAACTTTTGACTGAAGTAGAACACATATTCAGGAAGGTATAAAATCATAAATGTGTAGCTCAATGCATTTTTGCAAAATAGCCCCATGTAACCAGTACCAGTATGAGAGATAGAGAATAAATAGAATTCCAGGAGAGATAGAGGATAAATAGAATTCCAGAAGTCTCTCTATGCTCCATTCCCATTATTACGTTCCCCTTATAGGAAACCACTATTCTGACTCCTAACATGATGGATTAATTTTGCCTGTTTGTGAACATTAACTAAATGGAATCATACAAAATATATTTTGTGTCTAGCTTCTTTACCTCAATATTACATTTGTAAGATTCATCCATGTTGTTGAATTTAGCTATAGTTCATTCATCTTCTTTGCTGTAGAGTACTACTTTGTATAAATACATTATAATTTACTTTTTCCATTCAACTGTTGGTGAACATTGGGTTGTTTACAGGTTTTGATTACTGAAATAGTGCTTTGGCGAACATATGTACATATTTCTGTTGAGTATATATCCAGGAGTGGAATTGCTGGACCACAGGTATGTGCGTATGGTCAGCTTTAACAGATACTACCAAACAATTTTCCAAAGTGGTTACAGCAATTTATAATTCCACTGGCAATATATTAGTGTTCCAGTACAATATATTTTTGAGGAGAAACTAAATAATATCCATTAAAATTTAAAACATATATTTGCTTTGATGTAGCAATTTCATCTTTTAAAAATATATGCTGTAGAAAAACAAATATGCATATATATATATACACACAATATATACAGACACACACACACACACACACACACACACATATATATTCACTGCAGTACTTTGAGAAACACTGGAAATAATCTAAATGTCTTATACACAGAAAGGATAGGTTAAATAAATTATGGTACATCCATATACTGGAATACTTATGCCACCATTAAAAACAATAAGAAAGATCTATAAGCAAGAACATGAAAAATGTCAGCATTATCCTACTGAATCTACAACATAGGTTAAAAAATAATTCATAGGGGAAAAATTTATATATATACATAGAAAGAGTCTAGAAAACCAGACACTAAATTGTTAATAACACTTTCTAAAACAATTACATAACCATTATGTAGTCTTATAATAAAAAGGTATTTTCTTTTTCATAAAATGGTATCATAAATTCTATAGGCTTATTTAAAAAGTGTTTAAAAAACTTTATCCTATGCTATATATATGTTAAAAAAAACAGGGTCTGAAATTTTAAGTTAGATATCGTTAGAAACTACCACACAGAAAGCTGACATGTTTAGGTTACTCTGATTATCTCTTTCTGATTGGGAAGTGATAAATGGGAAGGGCTGAGAGCTCAAATGTTCTCAAAAGAAACATAATTAATATGATTGAAACTCTCTTTTTTCTAAAGTGGAAGAGACAAGGACACTCAATCAGTTAAAAGTATGTGATTAACAAGAAACCAATAAAGAAAAAAACCCTTGCTAAGAAAGAGTATCTAGAAACTAACACAACATTGTAAATCAACTATACTTCTATAAAATAAATTTAAAAAAAAAAGAGTATCAGGTAGTAGAGGAAATAGAAATAATCCTGCTGATAAACTGAAGGCCTTGGGAGCTATAAATGGAAAAAGAAACTATATGACAAATTAAGAATTAGACAAAAGCTCAAATCACTTAAAACAAGGTATGTGGGCAAAATTAAAGTTGAATGAGTAATGAGATGATAGTAATTAAGAATTGTTGGTACCAAATCATAAGTGTTCATTTCACTTAAAAGTTTGCTGTAGAATATGGTCTAATTTATTGCTTAATGTTTGTTTGGCTTAATCCTGATAATGAATAATTTTGAGAAATAGATCTCAAGTTATGTAGTCTGTATTGTACAGTTTAGATAAAAGATTAGGGCACCTACCACTATCTCGCTATAGGAAAATGATCTAAAACAGAAAAAAAAGCTTCAAGTACACACATTTCAAATTAGACGATAAAAAGTGACAGTAAATGTCAGGTAATGTCCAACACAGCAAACAGTTCTAAAAGAGATGAATAAACTTAGAATAAATACATTGAGGGGAATTCCCTGGCAGTCCACTGGTTAGGACTCAGCACTTTCACTGCCAAGGGCCTGGGTTCAATCCCTGGTCAGGGAACTAATATCCCTCTGGCCGTGTGGCCAAAAAAAAAAAATGAACACACTGATACCACTTTCCTAGAGGATATTTCATAAGAAACATCAAAAGAATATAAGATGTTGAAAATAATAAATTTGTAATTTATTACTTTGCAAATTTAATAAAATTAAAATGATACATACATATGAAGAACACCAATCAGCAAATAACTATTTATTAAAAGCCTACTATTTGCAAAGTTGTTTTTGAGATTATTAGTTATGAGTTCTTTTATATATATATGATAGCTTATGTTAACTTGGCATGCAATTTAAAATTCATAAAAGATAATACAAAGTTCAGTAAGCATGGAAAATTTCAGAAGTAAACAATAAATAAAGAGTATACATTCCAACCCAATGGAGGAAAGAAAATGAAAAAAGCAAAATAACATCAGCAAAAAGATAAAAATCTTAATCCTAAAAAAGACAGGAAAGTTAAAAAAAATTAGGTAAAACAGGACAATCAGAAGTAAAAAGTTGGAAACAAGTCCAAAAGTAGCCATGATAATAATAAAGAGACTAAATTCACCAATGGAGAAAAATGAGATTGTCTCAGGCATACCTAAAGTATTATGACAAGGAAAGATTTCAGGGAAAAAGGATATTGTGCAAATACTAATCAAATGAAAGGTGGCATAGCTACAGTAATATCAAACAAAACAGACTAAGATAAAAAGTAGCATTAAAGGTAGAGAGGATTACTACATATATAATAAGTTCAGTTTACCAGGAAGATATAACAATTTAACATATATGCATACAATAAAAAGCCTCAAACTGCATTAAGAAAGAAAATGACAGAACTACAAGGAGAATTAGATACATACACCATTTTAATGATTTCAATACCTCTCTCTCACTATTTTATAAGTCAAGCTAGCAAAAAATAGGGATAATATGAACAGCACAATTAGTCTTAATCGAATGGTCACATATAAAATTCTACATTAAAAATTAAAGTCATATGCTTTTCAAGCACACAAGGCACATTTACAAATTTATCATGTACAAGGCCACAAAGCCACTTTCTACAAACTTCAAAGTATGCGTCTAAACCAACCATGTTCTCTGACCACAAATTAGATGTTAATGAAAAAAAGCTGAATGTATACAACTAAAGAAGTTAGAAAACGAACCACAAAGGAATCTCAAATAATATACAAGGAAGGAAATAATAAAGAGAGAAGAAAACTAGAAGTATAAAACAAAGGAGTTAACAAATATGAAAGAAATCAACAAAGCCAAAAGTTGTTTCTTTTTCTTTTTTTTTTCTTTTTTTGGCTGTGCCACATGGCTTGCCAGATCTTAGTTCCCTGACCAGGATAATGGAGAAAAAATTAAGGGGGTTCAAAGAAATAATGTTATGAATAAAAAGGTGGCTATAACTAAAGACACAGCAGGAATTAAGAAGACAATAAAAATACTATAATAAATTTGAAGAGTTAGATGAATCGACAAATTGAAAAATATCACCTAAAACTGACTAAAGAAGAGAGAGTTGAAATAGTCCTGTAATTATTAAAGAATCAAAATAATACTTAAAAAACATACCCCAAAGAAAATACCAGTTCCAGATAATTTTATAAGTAGGGTCTAGTAAATTTTCAAAGAAAAGATCATTCCAATCTTATACAAACTCTGCCAGAGAAAAGAAAAAGAGGAAATATTCTTCTACTCATTCTCTGAGGCTACTGTAACTTTTTACCAAAAAAAGGGTCATGAGACTATAAGAAAGGAAA